TGTTCCTCTTATATATTATATCAAACTATTAAATCAAACAGTTTCTGCAATGGGGAGGGGCTTGGGGGTCTCATTCTATGGATGATCAATTCTAGTGCATTTATCAATGCAAACTTTAAGGTATGTTATTGTCTTGTAAAAATATATACAGTTTGATTTGTTGTATTGGAGAAAATATCTGATGTTATGCAATTATGGAAAAACAACATCTTCAAAGTGTTCTTCTAAAGTCAATGGTGGGTACCTAAAGGCAAAGGAAGAAAATATGGTAAAAAAAAACAACTCATATCTCTATAATCCCACTACACTCGCCCTTATAGCATGCTCTGTAAGGTTTTTCTCACTAATTTATTCACAAATTTAACCAAGTTGAATGCACTTTACCTGGTACTATCAATAATGTGATGGTGGGTTCTTCAAAGACTCTTTTGCCCCAAGGCATTGTACTGTATTTTTTCTGGTCATTGTATATATTTGTCTCATTTAACTTGATTAGAACAACTCAACCCCAGATAACAACAACAATCACAAAAACCACCTTGGTAATAACCACCCCACAAACACCTCTTTTATTCACAAATTTAATTATATATTTAGGTTGAATATGCTTTACTTGGCACTATCAACAATAGCATCATAGAATTCTCTTGCTCCAAGATACTATATCATCTGCTTTCTGGTTATTTTATATATTTGCCTCATTTAATTCAAAGAGGGGAGCATTATATGAATCTAATTCAATATTTTAGGGAACGGTCCCCAATATTTCTGACACACATGTTTAGTGATATTAAAGAGTATGTATGGTGAATTGTTTGCTTTAATTTTTTAATTTTCTTTCTCTCATATTTCATCCTCTAAAGGAATAAAGTCAAATATGAGATGGAAGTATTCAGAAAAAGCTAAAGTACTAGGACCACCCCTGAGAAATAGGCAGCAAGGGCTTTTAAGCAGTAATTTCATATATTTATAGCCTTTATTAGTATATTGTGCTTTTATAAATCATTGATATTTTGACTGCTTTTACATTTTGAGAATAAGTGGAAATGGAATGCTCTGGATTGATGTAGTTAGCTTTAAATGGTGTTTATAGGAATTATAGTCATTTATATCAATACATTGCAAGGTTGTATACAGCTGGGGTGACTTTGATATAGTTGACTTTTTATGCTATATGCTATAAGCCTGCATATTTTTGCATCCAGTGTAATATTGTGTACTATAGCATGGGACTTTGTAAGATTTGCACTTACAGATCTGAACTGATCTGAATGATATTTTGCTATTATAGTATATTTTTTGCACTTTATTGCATTTATAGCCGCATCATGTGTTCCTGATAGAAGTTAAACCCAAGGAAGAAATTAAGAGGCTGGTATCTCTGAAAAGCCTTTTCAAAATGCAAATCAGGACACTTTGCAGAAACTAAGCCCTGGGACCATGCTATAAAATTGAAGGACACCTTCAAACCTCATAATGGAGACATGATTCCAAAAAGAGAATAGGTTTCTAGTTTCATAGATGAGAAACTTAGGATGGGTTACATCAGACTTTCTAAAAGCCCTATGATGTCCCTGGTGCTCTTCATCCCTAAGAAGGATTGAGGTTCTAAGGTGTCACACAGAGCGTGGGAAAACCAAAGAATATAGTCTTTGGGCCAGCGTCAAGTCACAACTTGATCCCAAATAATCATTAACCACTTGTACTCGCATTATAGATATTGTAGATATCCACTACACTACACAATCTTTCTTCCATTCTATCCAGCACACACACTTCCCACTCTTTTATAAAACTACAATCATCCTCTGCAATTTGGTCATGCCAGAACCCAGCAATCAGCAAAATCCACAGGTCCCAGATTTCAATGCACCAGAATTTGATGCAGCCTGCAATGGCCTCATGCAAGCTCTAAACCTTACCTATGACAAAGCTACCCAAAACATAGAGGGAACATGGAGGAACCAAAACCAAATCCCACTTCAAGTCAATTCTATTCAACCCGGCATTAGACCACCATCACCAAGTCCTGGGTTAAGTGACTAAGATAGATTACAAAGAGTGTTGAAACAGTCAAGGTTATAGTCTGTTAGCCTTGTTAGATGAACTATGTCATAAGTTAATATTAGTACAAGGCCTGGTAGCTCAGTTAGTTAGAGCGCTGCCATATATAGGCAAAGATCCTGGGTTCAATCCCCAGCCGGTCGACTTTGCTTTTATGCACCTACTGTGTTCAGGTGGTATCTGAGGTTGTATGGCTAAATCCAATAACAAGTACAAGACTTCAATTGTCTCCTTGCATGGTGTCAAAATTTTTGGCTAGCCCAAAAATATCCCTTTTCTCAACCCCTTGGCCATTGTGATGGGTGTCTTGATATTGGTGCACAATTCCACAAGTAATATCCGAGTTGCCCTTAGAACTATTGAGCTTAAAGTATTGCTATATCATCAAAAATGGTTTATAGCACAGTCATTATAACAAAAATGACCTTGCACTTTTTCACTATAGTTTACTATAATTTACTTTAAATGCAATTATAACAATCCATACTCAATTATATTCAAAAAAAACACTAATAAAGCAAATTATATTGATTCTAAATATTTAAAATGCTGCAGCACTATTGTAGTGTCTGTAATTATGATTTGGATGCTTTTGCTGCTTCCTCTAAAGCATCAAAATCAAATATAAGCTCAGATGCATCAGATTGCCCCATTGTTATACAACCATTTCTACAAAAATACTTGAGGTTAAAAAAAAGGTTTGAATGATAATGAATTTCTAGTAAGCTCTTACCAAACATATTCATCAATCTCATCAAATACAGCTGCCAAGTATGTAGGAGAACATTTCTGAAATATTTCCAACAACCTCATATGATGGTCACACCTTGTAAAAGTATAATTAGTATAGATTTATGGTGATGAAGATGACCCACCTAGCAGAAAATGCTGTCTCTGAGAATTCTATTGTAATGTTGTTAATAGCACCTAGTAGAGTGCATTCAATCTGGTAAATAACTTTGATTGTCAGTTTTATTTAAAGAAAGATATAAACACTTACAAAGCATACTACTAGAGCCAAAGTAGGGAGATTGTATAAATAAGGGGTTATTTTTTCTACCATACTTTCTACCTTCAATAAAGCTTTAAAATAACTCACCTTTAAATCTATGCTGTTATTGATAAAAGCTCCTGAGTTTATAATTCAATGGATTGTATGATAGCTGATATAAACTCTCAGTCTGTGTGTAAAAGACTGTATTGATATCTACCTGTAAGGATAATGTTAAATGCTATGGTAGATGTAAGTAAATGTTGTTGTGACTATAATGAAATAACATACCTCAGTCTGTGTGTAAAAGACTGAGGCTCTAGAATGGAAATCTATGAGTTTTTGGTGTAACCGTAGGAAAATTATGTATTAGGTAATGCTAGAAAAGCGGACAAGATAGAATGAAGTCTGCAAACATAGGTAGAAAGAAAGATATAAGAGATGTGAATGTATAATACTAACACACCCCCTCAAACCAAAATCAGCCCCATGAGCTTGACAAAATATTCTAGTTTCGAACGAGAGAGAGGTTTAGTGAGACAATTAGCTGGCATGTCATTTGTAGGACAATATAGTAGGTTGATCTTGTTGTGTTCAATGGCTTCTCGTATAAAGTGGAAGTGTGTGTCTATGTGTTTGGTTTGTGCATGGTAGACATTGTTTTTTGAGAGTTCAATGGCACTTTTGTTGTCATTATATAAAGTTATTTTTGATGGTTTTGATGCGGCTGTGATTTTGGCCCATATGTTTCGCAGCCACATGGCTCCTTTGGTTGCATGTGAGATGGATATGTACTCGGCCTCAGTAGTGGACAGTGCAACCAGTGGTTGCATTTTCGAGTTCCATGATACTGCACCTCCATTGACTCTGAAAACGTAGCCGGAGATGGAGTGTCTATGGAGGTGAGAGGCAAAATCTGCATCAGTGTATCCAACAAGGTCCTCGCTGGTTGAGCCTATTACTAAGTGTAGGTCTCTTGTTGTTTTGAGATACTTGAATACTTGTTTTGCGGCTGACCAGTGTGCTTGTCCAGGATTTTCAAGAAAACGAGAGAGGCTTGAAATTGCAAAGGAGATGTCGGGATGAGTAAACTGAGATGGGTACATAAGTGAACCAATTGCCTGTCTGTAAGGTATGGTTGTCATCTCTTGACTGTCATTTGTATTGGTAGGTGATTGTCCCTTATTCAGCAGTGTACCCGGCTCCATGGGTGTTGATATTGGTTTGGACTCAGATAGGTTAAAACAAGCAAGTATAGAGTTGATGAAGGCTTGTTGGCCAAGAAAGATGGTGCATGACTCTCTGTCTCATTGTATGTCAATACCTAATAGCCATTTTACTTCTCCTAGATCTGTTATCTCATATTCTCCCTTCATTCCTTTTTTGAAAACTTCGACGGATGAGATGGTGCTACCAGCAATCAACATGTTGTTAACAGAGACAGCCACTACGACGCTGTCTTGTTTATTGTGGTGTATAAATAAGGTGTGGTCATGTTGTGACTTGGTGAAGCCAAGATTAGCGAAGGTTGTGGATAGTTTTGCATACCACTGTTTGCCAGCTTGTTTTAGTCCATATAGTCCTTTATTCAACTTGCATACTAATCCTTTTTGTTCTGGCTTTAGGTAGTTTGATGGCGGGTACATATATATATCCTCATCAATGATGGCATTTAGATAGGCACTTTTGATGTCTATTTGATGGAATTCCCACTTCTGGGCGGCTGCATGGGCAAGTATAAGTCGGATTGTTGTCAAACGTGATACTTCCGAGTAAGTCTTGTTGTAGTTGACATCATATTGCTGACTGTTGCCGTTTGCAACTAACCGAACCTTGAATTTTAGGATCTCGCCCTCAGGACTGCATTTTATTTGGGGAATATAGTGACATCTTATGATGTTGGCATTTTGCGGCGCTTTGACAAGAGTCCAGGTGCGCAAATTTTCTATTGCCTGAATTCTTCATTAATAGCCTCTAACCACTTGTCTCTATGTGGTCCTTGTGGCGCTTCAGCCATTGTTGGCGTGTTGCTGTTGAGTTGTGCGTCCAGATCTGCAGCTAGGAGGCAGGCGCTTGTGTAAGCTCTGTTGTCGCTGTTTTCATTGCCTGACTCATCCGGTGGGATCAGTGCGGCTGATGCGACACTTTGTCCTTCATGCAAAGCCCTGTAGAAGCCCTGTGGCTTCAGTTCTGCACATCTGGGACTTTTGCGAGGCTCAATTGTGGGTTTGAAGGCCTCTAAAAGGTCGTTTTGAGGTTTCGGAGGGATTTGATGGTGATTTGGGGCTTTGTCAATGATGGGATTGGGGTGGATGATGAGCTGATGGAGTGGATGAGGTTGTATCGCAGGTGGATTGATTGGATGAGGTTTGAGGTGGCGTTGATAGACGTGATCAAGTGGGATTGGTAACACCGCGGGCATTGGCTTATATGAGCTGGGATTATGAAGGGATTTTACAGGGATGACTTTATTATTAGTTGCTGCCAATGACCTAGGGAAATAAATAGATAATTTTCAAAATATAATTCCCAATCAATATTGCCTATGTCTGCAGCTTTGAGAGTGGAAAAAATCATTATCATCTCACAATATAATCTTTGCAATTGATCAGCACATTGTCAAAAAAATCACACTCAATGCTGATATTTAATATGATGATATTTATGGAGAAGATATTTAGAATATTATCAGAGAATTAAATATAAAATTCTCCACCATTGAATCAGTGATTTTATGATAATAATATTTTTGAAATATTCCCATATATTTTTCTCATTTATCTGCAGCCTTTTATTAGAAAAAATCCCCAAACATATCCCTGGACTGTTTGTTTTATCTTATCGCACGTTTGATTTACAATCAAAGCAGCGCTTCAATCGAAGACTTACCTAGTGTCACACTAGTCACACACTGTGATGCTGAGGCTGCGTTGTACGACACTTTTGTTAGACATCCTGGTCAATGATCTGCACTGAAAACTGTAAGTTTTTTTTTCTATTTTTCTACTTTGTGTGGTATCTGATTGGTTCTCTATCATCCAGGGCAACAAATGATGTACCTGCGCATTTGGATTGCAGCGGTAAGTTCATCCATTCCTCGCCTAGTTGCGTGATCACCGTGACCATCCACCCGTCTTCCCAGATTTCATGGCTGCCGTTGTTTCCTCGATAATCTGATCCAAGTCTGACGTGTTCTCATCTACACTTACTATACTTGCCCTGTACGGTGTACCAGTGCTCCCATTTATAATCGCAACAAGCAAGATCTTCATCAAAAAATTGTTCTCATTTTGTTCTCGTCCCGTTCTATATAACGATGTAGGTGGTCTTCTCTGTCCGTGTACTCAAGGATCTGATGTTTCCTCAAGGCGAATAAAATACTGGACTGTTTGCCCCGAGAGTGTTCATGGAATTTGGTCTTTGTTATCTCTCAATGACAGTGCATAACTACATTCAACAAATACAAACAAAATGAATATATTTGCAGCATTGTTGTCAGTTACATTATTCCACATCAAACGATTGCATGAGCTAAAATCCTGGTGAGTAATACTGGACGCAATACAAGAACAAATGTGCATACCCTGTCCAATGGCAGGACGTGAATAAAGTCCTGACCCCCGACCTCCATAGGCATTTTTGCAAAGTGACAAATTATTTGTGGCAACTTGATTACGTGTTGTCGTATCGGCCTTGCATCGCAAATGTAACCTGCAGCAAATCCATATACTCAATATGGATCCTTACTTGGCTCGACTAGGCCATATTCGAGAACTGTCGCGTAGAACTTGTTGTGTTCCGATTGTTCTGGTTGTAGGAGAGGCACATCAAGACGAAAAATAGTTTGAATGGTGCCTGCCCATTGCACCTCTTCTATGCGTTGTGCGAGAAAGATAACATGGCTATCGTGCCATGCTCGAGATTTTTCTGTCCCATATCTTACTCCTCGGATAGATAATTGATCCAATGAGACTACCTGTCTTGTTGTATAGCTGTCAGTGATGCCTGTAGACTAAAGGAGATCCATTAGAAGGTGATATTTGTCGTCTCCTAAAAAACATGGCTCAGATCTGTTATTGACGCTGCTGTTGGGTTGATTAGGGTCTAGCAGATATGCAAGATGTATACCACATGCATCTTCTTGTACAACACTATCCAAAGTCTGCACTGTTTCCAACAATAAAGCGCGTACTTCTGGATTGTCAGCCAGTGTAGCCCGAATAATGGATGACCGAGACATAGTCTCCATAAAGGTTTGCTCGATTTCACCTAGAACGCATAATGCTGAACAGATCAAATTAGACTTGTAACGTACATCCGAACGCACCAAATTTTTTGTTCGTGTTCAAACGTTGCAGAACATGGATATAGCGCTCGTAGAACGGCGCTTTGTGAGAATAGACTGGACCAAACAAATCCATCATGTCACCCATATGGAGGGCCGCATGGTGATTGGGTCTGAGTCGCTGGTCGGGATAGAGTCGTTTTATCCCATCAACGTAGCAGAATATATGCTTATTGTAAGCTTGAATCTGACTTCGTGAAGTCACTTGCACGTTGGCAATTCGGACAGCACTGACTAGATCCATAAAATTTTGAAGCATGTCCCGTCGTCGACCAATGTTGTTACACCACAACCGAATAAGGGTGATAGGGAGATGGATTGTGCAAATAGTATGCCAGTTATTAGCTTTGAGTTTGCCACGTGTAGTAGTGCCCCAGTCAGGAGGAGCACAACTGATCCAGGATGGCAATATGGTACTTTCCATATCTTCCCATACAGCCGCCATCACATCCTTTCCAAGAGCATGACGAGGCGAGGAGACATGTACATAAGAACAAAGGGTGTTTTTGTGGTCGTCCGACTCGTTCACCTATGAGTAGATGATTAGCCAATAAGTGTCGAAACAATCGGAACACATACCAATGATCCGATACTTGATACTTGATACTGTCAAAAAGTTCTCTCTTGGAGTTATACTGCCTGTGATTTCCTATCAGCTCAGAGATATAAGATAGAATTTTTGTGGTTAGTTGTCAATAAAGGGCCTCGTTGGGTAAATTATCATCATCATCAGTTAAATGACGAATATACCGCGCTGCCAAGCGAAGATCGTTTTTGGTGAGGTTATTTACGGTAGGGAGTGAATGTTTGGATTGTTTAGGTCTATTTTCCTTGGGTGGGGGCCAAACATCCTCCTTTACATCCTCATGGCCAATATTCTCCATGTCAATGGAGCCAGCATCGTCAGATTCATCAACAAAATCTTTGGATATACCAGTGTCGGATAGGTCATCTTCCACAACTGAGTCGGACTCCTCCTTATCAGCTTGTGATCCCCTATAAGACACATTATAGATCTTGACAGCCTCTTGGAGAGCTTTCCTACGAGCATCTGTAAAATTGGGGGGGTGTCGCTATGATGTACACACAATAAGCACACACAGGCCACCTGCCAAAAGTTTGACTGACACACCCATAAACATATGTTTTGAACCAAGATCCACTTCGTTCCGACGATCAACTTATGCCCAGGGCCAAGGATAGTGAGGTCGACGCAAATGGAATAGAGAACCCTTCGGGTCATACTCATGAGATCATCCTGTAAGGTCGGTGAGTTCTCTCCGATCAGTTTTAGACACTTTCGTACTAATGGCTTCTCCCTGTCAGTGGTCACCCGTTTTTCCTTTGCAGGGTGGTAGTTTTGGGTGGATCCATCCCCGCCGTTGCTGGTGGTATCGATTTGGAATAAAGTACGGCAGTGGTGTTGCAATAAACCAAGATCCAGGGCATGCATGGACTCTATGGTTGCTGACACAACAGGATTCCAGTATGGTAAGTCCAACAGAGCTGTCCATTGTGCTCCGTACACTTTTAGTAATGAGTTCCTTTCCTCTTTGCTCCTAGCATCTCTCCACTTTTCAGCACAACAACGGTGGTGTTTCCCATCTTTCATAGGCCATTCACTTTTGTCCAATACCTCAATGTCATCGTAGTTGAGATCACAGTGGGTGCAAAAATAGTGAGCTATCGCAGAGCCGGGAAAACCACCTATCTGGCGAGCTGCCAGCATGTCAGAAATGAGTGCCAAAAGCATGGCAAGGACAAGCCTGCCGTGGCGGTGCTTGTAGGTTCGAGAGAGAAAAATGCCTGGCTGCCAGAAATCTTTCAGTTCATTGACTAGTAGTTGTAGTGCATAGTTAATATCCTCCAACAATGGATGGTGAGGCCCTGGAATGAAACCAACTGGGAAAACATTCTCTGGAAGAAATCGTAAATGGGACGGCAGGTTGAGTAAAACGAGCCATAAGCCAAATGTCAAAGCCATTTGTTTAGCTGTCTTCATGTGAAAAGGGTTGAACCCATCTCCACTAAGGTTGAAGACTAGCCATAGTTCTTGAGGCGGTCCTGGAAGAAAAGGACTTCCAGATGGGTCTTTCAAATCAAGAACCATTTTGGAAAGCCAGACATCATCAATAGGCGAATCACCATCAAAGGGTGGGCCAGCTGGATTACTATTGCTTTGTAGTAAATCCTCCATTCCTGGACGAGAAAGGAGCCATCCAACCCAAGATTTGAGATCGTGATGGATGTATTTACGGCGAGGTACGTACAGTGTACGTTTCCCGAAATCTCGTGGCTCCCATAGAGCCGCACCACAGGGATGACTGGTGGGACAGCATAGATACGTGCACAAAGAATTATGAAGGTGGACTGTATGCAAAGGGGTGCGCGGGTCTTTGGGAATGAGACTTGTGATCCTTTCTGGCGCATAGTTTGCCCGGAGGGCATCTTGAATACCTGCCAGCTGTACACGTAAGGCTCTCTGGGGCATGAAAAAAATGTCACCCAGTATAAGGGATAAGAGTGACACTGCTTTTGCAAGAGAGCTCTCAAGTCCTCGTGGAGTAAAGTAAATATCTATTTATCTATTTCAAGGACAAGTATGTACACAGAAAGGCAAATAGTACGCACCAGTGCCAATGACAACATTATTGGGGTGATCACAGGCAATCTGCTGCTGCATCCATTGAGCTTCTTTCTCCTCACTTAGCCAGTACAATTGTTTGTAAATGAGTTTGTTAAGAACTTCTACGTCGTCTGCACAATCAAAAGATTGGATAAGGCCTGCAATTTCACACAAGTGGTTCTCCCTGGTGAAAAGAGGGACATTAGTTCTACGTGTTGGACACAAGCGATGTTTGCCATGATTTGGTTACACTAATTTTGCTGTCGGTGGATGTTCATACGTTCCATGTAGTCGAGGAACTTGTATAAAGACGAACGGCACTGTGTGTTGGGTGACAGGAAGTGCCGCATAAAGCTGAACCTCGGAGATAAAGAATCAAATGAGTGAGATTTGATTTAAAAAAGCCTCATCGTTAAATGGTCCTGAGGCCTGATGAAGCGGACTGGAGTGGGTTTTCAAACAAGAAGTTTGGCGCAAGTCGTCTCGGACGTGATTGTCTCTGGTGGAACGACTTTGAAGTCTTCCCTCTCCCTCAAATTGTTTGGTTGACAGATTGTAAGACCTACAGTAGGACTTGCACTGACAAATAACGAACTTCTTGCGAGGAGGCATGTCGAATGACCTGTGGGATAGGCTAAGCACTACAATGCTGAATCGTGATGTAGTACTACACCTGGATTGACCGAGGGCCCGGGATGATGCCGCAGTCCAGCAAGTCCGCGAATGCTGCAAGGACAGGGTGAGTGTGGCTAATATTCTAACCCAGTTCAATCTCAGCAATCAATCTGTTTGTTCTCCCCTTATCAATGGACGCCAGAGACTGAGACTGCCTCACGTCGTTGTAATACTGCTACCTCGCCCCCTTCACGTTTTTCCAGCCACGCATTAGCCGAGCTCACGTTCACCTCAAGTCAAGATGCTTCAAAATCGGGTCAGGGTCACCATATGGACTTAGTAGGGTTGGCACGCGTACATCCATGACCATCACTTGAAGATGTCGTCCAGCGGATCCAGCACATGTAAAGAGATTTGGTTAGTTGGTTAGACGATCAGTTGCAAGGTACACGCGCCAGATTTCTGATTATTGATGCCGGCCACGAGTCTCAATACTGACATGCGTCATGCGTCTCATTTTTATATCGCCCGTATGTATCCTTTATTCACAACTCATCACAACTCAACGTATTCTGGCAAGTACTTTCTTTCTGATCATCCTTAGCTCGCAGACTATTCAATAAATTCACATCTATAGAGACATGCCTCTTACTTGTTCTCAGTCCCAGAAAAGTGGTAAGAATTCCTATATTGCCTGTCAATGGGATGACTTTATTTATCAGTGTATTTTAGTGGAAACCTCAAACATCCGCCAGGATCCTGAGTCACGACAGCGACGGGGTGTTCAGAAATCCCAATCAAAAACTAACGGTACCGAATCTATTGACCATGGGCGCAGGCGCCCAAGAGGTAGTACACGATGCTATCCAGCAGCGCTTCAAGCTTATACTACAAATCAAACGGCTCATTTTCCTGGCGCTGACAACAGTACCTCAGGACTCCGTAAGTGCAAGTGTTCACGTATCTAGCTCACACTCACTGTATGATGTTAGATGCAAACCAAAGTCAGGAAATGCGAGAAAGCTCCATGGACAAAGGGAAATCTGGTGAATTTCAATTCCGCAGGCACATCCAACATTGTTTTGCTTATATTTACCTGTAAAGTAGTCAGAGTAGTTAGCCACAAAGATACACTGGTACCATCTCAGAGTCGTGCAGGATCCGCTGGTGAGTTCGTCTTCAGTCATTTCCTGAAATTACAAGTTGACAGTTATATCAACGTCAACCAGATCACTTCTTGGGGACCGCATTTCAAGCTGCAAATTCTACAGAGGACCTGATGTATTCTGCACATGGCTCTCCAAATCCCACCCCTCCTCCTCCAAGTGCATGTGAGCCGTCAGACGTACATTTGCAACCAACCCCCACCGAATCTTTGCGCAGCCAGTCTTCCAAACCTCGCCTCTCCAAACATGCTGTTGCAGCAGACTCGCATTACCAGCTGGATCCTATCCTCCGCACAACATTCGGTAGGTCTTTCATTCTATAAGATGTATCTACCATAGTTTATTGACACATATTGCAAGAGAAATTATCCCCTTCCACAGCATCCGCTACGCTCAAGCCGACCATTAGCCCAAGCAGAAAACAGATCTTCTCCCCGGTCATCTTGAAAGCTCCATCCTCCGCGCAGCATTCAGTACGTTTTTTTCTCATCTTATCTGTCAGCTGTTAACTATTGATCCATTGATTATCTAGATATTTCGAAGGAGAAAGTACCCCCTCCTACAATATCTGCTACACTGCTGCCAACTATTAGCTCATCAATACGCACAGAACAACCTCCCGGCAACGTCGAGAAAACGCCCACTCCTCAAAGATACAATCACTCATTCCCCACTATTTGCACCCCCCTATTTTTCCCCATTGAATGTTCTGTGGAACATCGCAAAGATCAAGTGCTATCGCCAATCCCCGAGCAACCACCCTCCCCGCAGCCTCCTTTCCCTGAATTTTCTACTGTTAGTAGTTATCGCTATCCCCCCCTCATAAGATCCATACCTGCTGGTTGTCGAGATGACACGCCAGCCTCTGGCCTTGGTGCACCACCCTGTGAACCCGATACTAATCCCTATGAATCCACTGCGCAAAGTAAACCCACCAGCCATGCTAATGAGGCCGACCATGACAAGGAGATGAAGATGGGGGAGGAGATAGATACGGAGGAGATAGATACGGAGGAGGATATGGATGCCAACAAGGAGATACAGAAGGAGGAGGCGGATATGGAGAAGGATATGGACACCGATGATGAGAATGATGGGAGTAACCAAGAGGCGGAGGATGATCAATTCCAAAGAGGTCCCCCAAGAGAAATCAATTTGGCAAGGGAGTCTACCCCGACATGTTCAGATATGCAGGAGCTGTTTAAACTCATTCAAGGGATCAAGCAGTCAGTCAAGGGGTGCAAAGAGGCACTTGTTGGTGTAGATTGCACCATGCACAAAGACCCCTCTGGTCTCGACGTTCTTCGTTCAAAGCTGAATCATAAGCTTACCAGGCATCCTGTCCACCGACCAGATCTCTCCAAAAGAATCGCTGTATGTGTATTCTTGCTATATAGTTAAGGATGCTAACATTAGTAACAGTGTCCAGTTGCATCTCATATCGACAGGCTTCTTGGCACGTCCAAACTCGCTTCAATGGTAACTACAGTGGAGTTGAAACTTTTTGCAACAACATGGAAAGCCAGCGTTGAAAAAGGCCTCAACTGTCCTCCTTGCTGCACTGTCGACCACTTCTGTATTGACACTGTCTCTGGACCTAGGAGCCCATGGAACAAGTCAGCAGCTCGCGTATTTGCCGATGACTGTGTTTCATTCCACGGCATCGATAAAACGTATGTGGCACTGCAAACCGTCATGCGCCAGTTTCATACACATGTCAAGGGCCTTAAGGCAAAATGGGCAAGACTGTCTAAATCTAGTCAAGAGAAGAAGCTACATGTGGTGCGTGAAAATTGTATGCAATGGAAGCATTCGGTATGTTCTTTATTTATTTACAATATGAGTGACCGTTTATTTAACAAATGGGAAGCTTTTTCACCGTTGACTAGACGTCGCCACAGACAGTACATTCCAAGGTGCATTTGACCGTCACGTCAAGATACTCCAACAGTTAGGACCTGATGGAATGTCGAGCGACAAATCAGACGATGAATTCAATGGTCATAACTATTTCAAGATTGTGGAGCCTCAATTCCGAGCTTCCGTTGTTACATCTTGGTTAAGGGCCTTTGACGCTATTCATGCCATCAACCGCAAGATTGCCCAAGATAAACGAGGTGCGTGGGCTCGCCTTCGAGTCGCACAGTTGAAATACAGTTCGAGCAACATGTTTGTACCTGGTTTCCCCATCAATGCTTATTGCCACAAGTGGCTCTCCGTGCAAAGCGATACCAACAGACGGTTCATAATCCATCCTTTGGAGGAGGAATACGATTTCAGCCACGATCCTCAAATATTACAGTAAGCACTATTATATTAATATTGTATATGATTTTCCATTCAACCCCGCATCACCTTGTTCAGGTTGTTGACGTCAAATATCACAGATATGTCTTGATTCATGACCAGGTGATATGTAAGATAGGAATGTGTATGTGATGTCTATGCTAGTCTGGTGTATGTAATTAAAATCATTATGGTACATGAGTCATTGTATTGATCCTTATTTCTTTGCTCAGCTGTCTATAATACATCAATTTCCACATTGCCTCTCATCGATACCGTCACGATCATCCACTACTTCATCAACATCCTCTTCCTTCTTTCCTCCACCATATCCACCCCTCAAAGAAGGCTTCCTCTGCCGACTCCAGCTCTCCTCCTTTTACCCACACAAACTTCCTTTCTTGTTTTCTCCTCCTTCAGATTCAATTATCTCAACCCTAATCATCTCTGCGCTCTGCCGCCTTTAAAGATATCACACAACGTCACCCACAACCTATGTTCTAAGTTTTACTTGCTCTCCTCCCACGTTTATACTCTTATCCTCCTTTGATATCCATCTACCCACTTGATGCCACATGGCATTTAGATAGTCTATGCATCTAGATCTACATTTTCCTTCCCATTTTCCCACTGTCTGTCAGCCCGCCGTTTTATGTACTCCATCAATATCTTCCTCATTGAGGTTTCTCTCGATGTAGTGCAATGCCTCGAGGCTTTCTTTACCAACTCATAACCCATATCTGGTCATCAATCATTTTCAAAGTGGCAGCCAAACCATATGTTTACAAGTGTTCCTCGTTGCGGGCGTACTCTGATGAGGCTGTTTTCAGAAGCGGCCAAGCTCTGCAAAACTTGGACAAGCTCGAGTCCGCCTGCTCTTTGCTGTCAGCTTATAAATCTGGCCCAGTGGTTGTACAACAATGCCCGTCACTCCCACCGGCTTAGCTCCTAATCGTCGTACTTTACCGTTGATTTCAAGTGCTCAGAAGGAGTTTGTTCTGGCCGAGGACGATGTATGTATGCTGATCAGTGTCCGATCTGATCAATGCTCACGAAGTTCGCTTAGCCTTGCAGGGTCATATATCACATTCCTACCACATACTCTGATTCCAGCTCAGAAGAAAATGAAAACATTGGGGAAGTCTCATTATACGATCATACAAGTGATCATACTGATAAAACGCATTTATATCTAGGCCTGGGATTCCATCTTCACCCTCGCCCACCTCTTCTGGCAAAGCCAAATCAACATCAGTGTAAGACTGCCAGGGTAGTGATGATACAGACCTAGCTACATCAATGAGTAAAATATCCGTCACGCAGGAATTCGAACCAACGTACGAGGTCCCCTTTCTTCTCCTCCGGATCCAACCCAATATCATTACTTTAGATCTACCAGATACCAGGCAAGGCCACCGCGTGTCCTTCAGCAAAGTGATGGTATAGACGCGGGAAATACCTCATCGCATGAACAGGCCGACAGGTACAAAACTCTCTTCCCTCATTCCTCCTGTAATCTGATTGGCTTTTGTACGGATAGTACACCTTCAGGTTTTCATGTTGAAAAAACAACGTCACCTGTCATTCGCCAAGCTCTTGTAGATGAGCTGGTTTTAGTTTCAGTAGCTGCTCCCGAGGTGCAGAAGATGCCAAGACCACATGATGTCAATACATTGTACGTACACATAAGCGGCTGGTCGAGCGTGCTCAATGTTCTGATGCTAGTGCTCCTTTTCTGAACCTGTATATGTATAGTCCAAAACATGCACGAGATGGTCGTCCCGACTTACCGGTTTGTAACGAGCGCCCCTTCAAATCAAAGCAAGATTCTGGGTCAACGTGTTGGTTTAAATCATCATCTCAAGGGCCAATCTCCGCACCATCCAGTCGCCTGCGAGTTGGTGTTTCTGATATCTATATCCATGAGAACTTACTTGATAAGTCCAAACAAGTTTGGTTACGGCTCGAAGATGGATGGTTGTCTATCACTGCTCAATACTTGATGAACAGTCTCACTATTGTGCATCCACTGAACTCTCTACGTGTTCTTCGAGTGCAACCGGTAGATGAGACCCCCAGCTGGATCTTGAAGAGCACAAAAAATGTTTATAATCATTTAGAAAAACAAAACATCGGTGATGATTATAGAAAGGATGACATGAAGAAGCGAGGTATGAGCCAACGAGCAGCATCAATGCCTGCAGACATAGTTGAATAATTTGTACATGTAACTGACACATACTTCTGCATAAAATCTATGGGTACAAAATATACAATTTTTAAAACCGGATGTGCATGCATGAGTTGACGAGACTAGATCTGGCTAGGGTAAGCATAGCATTAGGCACACATTGTAGACACTTACGCTGCTATCCTCGATGCTTGAAGAAGGAGGTTTGTTGAGGTTGAGAGCTGTTAAGTAATCACCCATATATCTGTCGGTCCTCGTGAGTCATGATCAGAGGGTATAGTCAAAGCACTCGTGTGCTTACATTGCGACTGCCCGGCGTACAATTGATGCGCCACAATGTCTGTGTGCAAGGAAAGGAACCTGAATTCCCATGTACAAGACAACAATCTCGCCCCACCAAATAAAATTGGGGGCAAGCTTTTGAAGTGATCTATTTTGAGGAATATCTGGATTGTAATATCCGCATACAAGGAACTTGTAGCGGCCTATAGTCACAATGCAATCATAAGCTGTGTGGCAGTACACTGGATGAAGGCTTTCTTCTATGTCGATGAAAGGGAGGCGGTCCAAACCGCTCAGATGATCGACCTGAACGCCAAACAAAAGTGGTAGGGGTCGATCAGCCTTGTAAGAGTAAATGTGCCCCATTGTAGTGTTCCTGCGCTGCAATATATCAAGCAGTAAGCATATATGTATTACAACTGAGAATGATATTACCATCAGACCGATTGGTTGATTTCGTAGGATGACCATAAGTACTAGAGTGGGGATATTTGTCTGTGGTCTGAGCAATTGGCCAGATATGATGATCCTTTTAAAATATAAGCCTAAAGGCATGTGTCAGAAGCATGGTGAAGCCTACCTCCGAGATATGCATGAGGAATACAGTGCTAGCTATAGGATCGCATATGCGAGTATAGTCACGGCTATGGGATCGATAAATGACATACATGCATACGGGTTCTAGTACTAGTACTGGTGGAGATAGTGTTATATCCACGCCGTGGGCCAATAAATAATATTCAGTGCTATGATCATGAGTGAGTGAGTGACAATAATATCTTCAGTAATTCGGGTATCATTCACCGTTTATGCTAATAAAAATTGCTCACATACTAATATTGTATCCATTATGAATCCAGAGGCCTATGCGAATACTTTGAAGGAGTGTATTGGGTCCTTAGCCATTATTATGAATATTATCAGCCGTTAGCATGAAAGATATTTTAGATCTAGAGACGTAGTGGTATATGTACATGTGCCGCGTTTGAGTGATCCTGATATCTAGCGAAATCATTTCCACTCCATTAACATGAGGCATACACATGCAATTATGTACTGGCAGACCTAACTTACCGGATGGGACAGAAAGACCTCTCAAAGTTGAAGTCAAAGGCCTTGATCAGCAAATGAGATTGTATTTTGATGTTGATATTGGGATTTACAGCTCAAATATCCGCGGGCGCCCACAAAGCGAGCCTAAAAATCAATATCTAAGATCAAAGCATGCTGAAAACTCCACCTTAACCCTGATCATGAGATCTCAGAGAATCTTGCGTCATTACCCTTTTTATCGCCCTCATGATTAACACGTGTGCGTGGCGCAACGCAGACACAGCAGCCTGATTACTGACACGACAAAGGTCAATGAAGAAGTCAGCTTTTGATGTTCAAGTTTTATCTGGATTTCGACCATGCCACCTGGACTCGAGTTGAAACATCTCAAGACACTCACCAGTCATTATACTTCAATAAATGCTTTGGCCTTTTCTCCTTCAGCCGAACTTCTGGCCAGTGGTGATGACAACGGTTATCTTTTGGTGAGCTCGCTGATCCATTCATCCATCACCCGTCAGTTTATCCCTTCTTCTAGGTCTATGCTACCGCTACATGGGAGCTCTTGCGTCGCTATCAGAAACCCCACCAAATTCAAGCTATCTTGTGGCATCCGCACGAAATCGCAATTAGCATTGGCTGTAGTAATGGAGACATCAGTCAGATTCTACTATCAGAGGTAAGGATAACCTAGTGTGGCTATAGACGTAACAAAACATCCTGTAGCATGCGGAAAACAACCAACAATGGGTCAATTCAGTCCCCGGCTGCGTTCACGTCCTAGATACCACTCGTGATGGTACACAACTTGCTGTCGCATATGGAAACAAAGCTGCACTAGTGTCACAGAAGAAAATTGGTATGTGAGTATAGTAAACAATCTAACAGCTTTCTGAAACCATGCAAAAGGGGTTTTGGGAAAGACTCGCCTCTTGCCATTGCCGTCAAGGGATCAGCAGATCATCTTAGTGCAGAATATGCATTACATTCATGACCAATTCATAATTGTCACATTTCTAAACCATGGAACCATGGGAGCGTCGGATAAATGATATCAGCCAAACTGCAAGTTAACAACTTACAGTGCATATTCTATCCACGGCCAAGTTGATTGACTATGAAAGATTTCTCCTCAAGTGCCTCAGATGTAAGTGACATCATTTCATCTGATTTACACCACTTAAAGCATCTTTGTAGTGGGTCGTCCACATTATCGAAAAACGGTGAATTTTTAGCCACTACAAACTTACAAGATGGCGTAGATTTCTATTCAATATCCTGAAAGAGGCTGGTATGCTCAGGAGAGTATCTCCCACGGGCGGATTTTAATATTCCCCTTGGTCTTGAATTTGTTGATTATGAGGGATGGTATGTTGCAGGAGCGGGTGTTGGCCAAGGAGGAGCTCTACTCTGCCGTGGGATTGCAGAACCCCTTCAAATATTAGAGACTTCATTCGTGGGTGACAATGTATTCCAAACAGTGGTAAGTAACTGACAATATTTTTCAAATTGTGGGACTTACCTCTATAATTATAACCGTCAGACATGTGGGAGTTTAGCGGATAGATGGCACATCGCAACGGGAATATTTTGGTCGGGGAAGGGTCATCAGCCTGTCATTGATGTATGGGTAGAATGTAACAAGGAAGAATTATTGACTTGCCTGGCGCTGACACGAGGTTCTTTTGATAATGTGGATCAGAAGAGAAAACAGCCTCAACGCCATGATACGACGGCTGGAGCCACTTTGGTGAAGCAAAGTCCTGTGGGCTCCTAAACTAACATCAGCCGGCAGGAAATGTCAAAATTCGTAAGTTAGTTATTCAATACAAGTCAACCAACGACTTACTGTATGCGTGATTGTGATCCCAGAGAGGGGGGCCTACATACCTTGCTGCATTTTTTGTTGTGGTTGTAGCCGCCTATTCGGCAAATCATCCACTGGTACTAGCAAGTATAGTGGATCACATTATTGGTATGTTGCTCTGGCCAATAGATCCTGTGAGCTTTGGACTCACTATCAAATCCAACCCATTTGCCAGCTCTTGCATGCGGTTTGAGCTTTCCCGTGCCAATAACCTTCACGTAGGTGGTACATCCAAATTTGTGGATGTCTTGAAGGTTTGGCTTTGATCCATGGACTATCTCATAGGGTGTTTTGCCAGATATGGCCTTTGTAGGTGCCCAATTTTTGATCCATACTGCGTGCCTTAATGCTTCTCCCCATAAATTTTTAGGTAGACTCGCGCCTAGTAGCATTGCTTGGGCTGATTCAACAAGTGTGCGGTTTAATTGTTCGGATACACCATTCTGCTGAGGTGAGCCATGGCTTGTTAACTCTCTGACTATCCCTTGTTTTTGCAGATGTTCTACAAAATCTGTGCTGGTGTATTCTGTTCAATTGAGAACTTCTGGGAAGTGTCTAGCCACTTGCTGAGAGCTAACAGGGACAGAACTAGAGTCCAGTATGAGTAACTATATTATCAGAGAGTACAGAATGTGTACAGTACCTAGAGTCCAGTATGAGTAACTAAAGAATAGGAATGCTGGACTCTGCAATACTAGTCCGAAGTTTTGTAAACAAAGGTAAACAAATCAGCCACAAAGGCAAAATTATAGAATGCTCAGTGAATACTGAACAATACAGCAAAAAGAATAAAGAGGAAAGTGATTTAGAAAGAAGGGAAATAGATAGCACAACTAGGTGCAGAATCACCAAAACTAACATATTCACTGCCTTAATCAGATCTCAAGATTCTAATCTTAGCTTCTTTTGAACGTTCAGCCAGGCTTCAAATTTCTTGTACATGGAGATGAACTCGTCCTTTGTCATGAGCAAGCGAAGGTGGGTTTCTCTGGTGTAATCATCAGTAAATGTTAACATGTAACATTTTCCTTTGATATCTTGAACTGCAGCTGGGCCCCAAACATCCGGGTGAATTCTTTCACCATAGGTTTTAGCTTGGGTTTGACTGACTTTAGGAAATGGTGTTTGGGTAGCCTTAGCACGTATGCACGGTTCACAGAAGACTGCTTTTTTGGATGTGTCAAGGTTTATGCCTTCAGCTGAGCCAGAATTTATGAGATGTTTTAGGGAGTTATGTGATATGTGTCCCATTTGACAATGTAACTCATTGATTGTGAGAGTTGTTGCAAGGTAGGCCTTTTGATTCATAGTGCTGTTAGCTGACGGTATGTGGTACAGCCCTTTGGTCTCTGGGATATGGGCTATGACATGACAGATAGGACCAGGAGTGCAAATTTCACAGATGCCTCCTTGTATAAGCAACGAATAGCCAGCCTTGTCCATTTGACTTGCTGAAATCAGTGTAGAGACCATGTTTGGACAGTGCAAAGTGTTCTTTAGCATAACGCGTGAGTTCTTCTCACCATTTGGTAAGTTCACTATAATGTTTCCTTTTGCATAGGCATACATGGTGTCTCCATTTGCAGCGTTGATTGGAGCAGGGTCAATGATAGAGTAAGATTGGAACTTCGATCAATTGGGGCAGAAATGATCTGTAGCCCCACAGTCTATTATTGCATCCTGGACTGCATGGTGAGATGCTCTATGGGCTTGGTCTATATTTTGTGCGCTGACTGTAAAGGCATAGATTTTGTCATTATTTGATGCAGTAGCATTGGTGACTACATTAGCTGTTATTTGATTTGTAGGTGCTGGTGCAGTTGTTTGCGGCTTTGGCTGATATTCCTTTTATTTGCCCTTAGATCTAGGCTATTGTCCTTCTCTGCCTCCGCTGGGGGTATAGCATTGGTCTGTAGTATGACCTGTCTTGGTTGTACAGTTAGGGTTTGTACATTTGTATTTGCGATGCCATTTGGCCCTCTTTTCTTGGACAGTAGCCTTAGCTATCATGGCTGACTTGTTTCAAGTTTGTGCAGATAGAGTGTGATTGTCGGCCTCATTAGTTACATAGGCTATGATGTCAGTTGATGACAACTGATTTTTCGAGATGCAAGCTGTTGTTAGAATGGATGTGATAAAAGGTCAATACATTTCTGGAAGGGATGATAGGATCATTGCAGAAAAGTCCTTTTCTTCCACTGCCAAACCCATTCCAGCTAATTGTTCTTTAAGCTTGAGCATGTCTCAAATATGTGCTCGAACATTTCCAGATTTGGAGCATCTCAGGTTCTGCAAACGTTGTCAGACATCTATTTGCATCATTTCAGTTTGTCCATCATGCATATTAGATATGGCTTTCCAGATTTTGGCAGCCGAGCTCTTGTCCAATAGTTGAATAAGAGTGTCATCATGAATTGTGGCGAATAGTTGTTGAATTACCAGACATTCTTCCATGGTAAATTAAATTCATTGAGTTTTTGCTGGTATTCTTCTATATCCTCTTCTTTTAGAGTAGTGCCTTCGGCCTTGGTTGCAACCCCATTAGAATCCCTTGTGTATTCAAGAATGGTAGGTGATTCGGCTGTGCCAGACAAGTGCCTAGATAGGCCTCTTGCTCCGACAGCTACAGCAACTTGAGATTTGTATGTGACCCAATTGGAGCCATCCTTGGCTAATTTGGGCACAGAGAATGTTGTTGCCAAGGCAGAGTTTTCAAGCAACGTGGCAGGGCTCATAACCTGATAGCTTATATAAACTTTGTAAGGATAATGTTAAATGCTCAGTCTGTGTGTAAAAGACTGAGGCTCTAGAATGGAAATCTACGAGTTTCTGGTGTAACCGTAGAAAAATTATGTATTAGGTAATGCTAGAAAAGCGGACAAGATAGAATGAAGTCTGCAAACATAGGTAGAAAGAAAAATATGAGAGATGTAAATGTATAATACTAACAGTAACTTTGGCATTTATATTGTTCTGCTGGTGGTCCAACAGACCCCGGGTCTCCTCCTTTGTCATACATCATGGTTCCCGGAACCTGTACCCTGGGGGTATGTACCCCTTTGACAAGTCAATATAGTTGCCTGGGCGCTCCGCAAGGCTGGTCCAAGGTACTGAAGCCTTTGCATTTCCAGTGGAAATCTGGTAATGTGTCATTAGGAGAGACCTGATGATAGCCTGTAGATCTGAAAAGGTTGCCGGGGAAGACAGATCCTCATCTACAAGGATGGGATATCCATTATCGTCGAGTGGAAGCTTAATCTTTTCTTTCTGCTTGCTTGGTAGGCTCTCCTTTGGCACAGACCCATCTATATCAGCTACATGCAGTTCAGTACTCTGTGATGTTTATTGATTAAGCTGGAAACTTACAAAACTGACTTTGTGCATACTTTTCCCAAGCCTCCCATATTTTTACGTTTTTCCAGTTAGGTTGTACTTTGCTAAAAAGCTCAAACCCGGCTTTGTCATTTTGCTCATGGCTGCATTTAAAGCAATCAGTTTTAGTAACCACACACCCAGTTTGGAGCCCAAGGTCCGTAGACTTCTTACAAGGACACACAAATGGTTCCATTTGTATCTCTATGGGCGGTGAGCACAAAACTCAACATTCCCAGATCCCGGGTTGCTTGCATCTGGAAGTCCTTCACTACTTTCCTACCCTTCATTTTAGCAACTCTGGGTATTGTGAGTCACTATTTGTCCTGGGTGAGTAAGGGACATCATACTCACTTTTGTCTCACTTCCTCTGATGGCTCATTAATATACCACTCCTCACCCTTACCAATATAACCTGACTGCCCCGGCTTGACTCTGTAAAGGTCCCACATCCTTTTCTCCACCTCCTTCTTCTTCACTAAGTTGAGCACTTGGTTCAGACTTAAATACTTTCCATGCCCGGCAACCTTGTTCCCAGGCTGTTTGTTACCACTGTGGTTGTACAACCAATGCCTGACCTGCTGCAATATTAACTGTAAATATGATAATATCCTTTGACAATTAAGAGTGATCATACTTGCTTTATGTCAGTTAAATCCTTGAAGTTGGTTAGTACATGTCCTTCCAAATTTTCCCTGACTTCATCCCAGGTATCATCAAGTACACGCCCCCATTGTAGAGAATTTGCACCCCGGAACTCTTCCAAATTTTCAGTCAATTGAATACAACATCCATCCATTCCAAGCAAATATTCAGCTCTTCTGTCAGATCCGAGCAATAATATCATTGCCTTAACTCCATACTGGGCCTTCAGCTAAGGCCCTGAACGTGTCAGGTACCTCCTAGCCAATGCCTTCCCTGATATATTGCTTCTATATATGGAAATTTAGTGCCAGGTCCATCAAGTTTATCACCTCGTGAGGCCTAGGTGTCATAGAAGCTAACGTAACTTAGAAACATAGGCTCCATATTGATCATTGCCTTCTATCATAAATATCTTGTATGAGCATCTTCAAACTGGCATCTGGTTTAACAACATCATCTCTTCTCTGCAGAACTATTTAGCATTGGCTGCAGCTCCTCCCAATGTTTGGCCCCAGTGTTACAAAGAGTAGATTGGAAGGAGTTCAGAACAAGCAGAGGTGTGCATACAAAACAAATAAGTGTGAAAGACCACATATCCTGATCAACTTTGTCAACATCTGGTCAAACTCCTCATAAACATGTTATGTTTCTCATCCAAGACATTGACCATCCTGTCCGATGGAGGCTAAACCCGGTCATGTAGCATATGCAGAGATGAAAATCAGGATGTGGAATCAGTTCTCAGAACAGACAAAGGACTCATTCCAGAGGCTAGGCATAGTGGTTTGAGGGAACTAGAATAGTGGACCACAATTTAATAGAAACCCGGGGTCTATTATACTATGTAATGGTAGTCCAGTGTTCCCGGGCTTTGTAGTAATCCAATGTTTCTGGACTTCATAGCAATCTATTAATTCCCGGGCTTCTATCCAACTGCGGGGTTCCCAGGTTTCAACCTTTTTATTGAGCAAGCTACTACAAACAGCTACAAACTTGCAGCAGTGATGTACCCAGATCAAGACAGTTCAGCTGCTGTTCCACATCTATAAATGCATAACATAATTGTGTGGGGGTGCTGACCATCCCGGGGTCTCCACCCGCACATTGTATGTATATACTCCCTCATGTAATATGCAAAACATATTCTCTCACCACTGCAGGACAAAACCCCATGATAGCAACTTCCTACTAAATCCAGCAATAGTCCCACTATCAAACTTGAAGCAAAAACCTGCCCCAGTGAGCTCCAGAATGGCTTCATTGTAGTCCCCTACACTTTCCAACATACCATACCACTCTGCTTTGGAGAGACGATCCTGGTGTACTAGCGTTTCTCGGTTGCTGATGATAGAAAGCGCATTAAAGACCAAGCTCCATGCCTTTAGTACCGCCACATCATCTATATGGTCCTCAACTCGTACCAGCGCCTCCCGGGCCAACTCATAAAGTGCAGGGTGAGCTACACACGAGATTGCACTCATGAGGGCCCCAGTCTCCACAGAAAATTGCAACCCTGGTGCCCAGGGGTGTAGATTTGCGCAAGGACTGGGAAGCTTGTGGAGCCTCTCTAGTTTTCTGTGGTGAAACTTTGATTAATCATAATGTATAAGATTATAACTCAATAACAAAAACTTCATGACCAAGTTACAACCACGCCAGGGATATGTCTATCAACCCACAAGGGAATAGCTGACACTCCCTGGGATTTTTGTAATATTCGGAAGATTAACGCCAGCTCTTTGAGGGCTTCTTGGGGTGTTTGCTTTATATCTTGCTTGAGATGCTGTAGACTATCACACATGCTTTGCTAAATATATTATATCCATGTGTAGCAACCAAGAGTTAGTTACTCTGGCACACAACTCAGACAAGCAAAAAGGAATACCAATCAACAGTATGTACCGTTGACTGGTCAGAGAGTAATGAAAGGGATCACCCCTTAGTTTTCAACAAGTTAGTTGTGAGGATACAACAGGAGGACTCGCTGAGGAGTCTCCTGAATCTATTGAGGTATTTATACTATTACAGGTTGTTTGTACATGTTGTACTATACAGTTGATAAAACAGGGGCTGATGATGTCAGAGGGTGTAGCCCGTGTGACCAGCTCCACTGTGTTAGTACCATTGAGCAGTATACAACAAGGCTGCCACTTGTTGCCTTTGTTTGGAAAAGATCAAGTGCCTGCTCACTGGGGTACAGAAAATGCTTTGGATGTTTGTGATAGAGTTCTATTAAATAATTGGGCTGGTTTGTATGCATACCAAACTATTTGGTGAATATTAATTCTATCATTATTAGTGTCAGAAAAAGGTTTTCATAGACATAAATAAGTTGGTATAGCTGGTATAGCTAACATAGTAACTATAAGGCTTCACATAGAGATTTATTGGCTATAATTGGAATTTAATAGCTACCATATCAGCTATAGAAACATACCCAGCTATATAGCAAAATGGTTTTTCCTGATGTAAGATGAACACACTGTAATGTACTGACCTAGGCGAGTCGTCTGGGATGGGCAGTGTCTCACCCAGCCAGGTTGTTGATGATGGGCACAATAATATTACATCTAACATAGCCCGGCTGGCACTCCACCAGACTCCACTGGCCCCGTCTATATTATAATATTATCAGGTAATAATGCCCTGTCTAAGATGGGCAATTATAACTATATAGGCTGCTGATTCAGCATTGGTTGCTGCCAACTGTCCCTCCTTGCCCCGTGTTATTGTCTCATGTGCATTCATAACGGCAGCTGAGTTGTATTTATTTCGCAAGTTTTATGTGGTCCAGCTGTTCGGGGCACGCTGACATCTATGTATGCCTGTCTGCCATTTGGAACATAGTAGGTTGTATTCTTCCTGCTTGAATATAAATCTCCAGTTATCTTGAAGATCTGACTAGGCAAGTAACCATTATGTCCCTTCATCTTCATGATCATGGACATGGCTGGAATATTGCCAGATGCAACAATTAGGTATGTATGCAGACAAAATAAGACATCAAGAATGACATCATACGCACAAACCCCAAGCACCAACTTTATCATTTTCTCCACAAAAGGCCACAAAAAGGAATCAAAATCCTTTAGCTTTTTGGGTCCTGGAACCACTCCCAAAGTCAAAATATAATCCTTCAAGAAACATAATTCTGGAGGAAGATTGTAGTTGTAAATGATTTTAGGCCATGTGGTTGACTTGTGAAGGCGGAAGGGAGCAAATCTGTTGGTCAAAATCCCCAATGCAATATCTTGTGGGTCCCAGAAATAATGGTGTGTCAATTCCTCTCTGTATACCACCATATACCATTCCATCCATTATATCTGTCACAGATCCGAGTGTGTGGATGTGTTCTGAACCTCAATATTTTATCTTTTCAGCAAGCTCCATGTTTTTGAACATGCCCTCCAATCAAGTAATTAATGATATGATACGTACACATATTTCTGTCTGGACCTTTTGTAGTCATTGTATCACATTGTTTTGCAGTAGGGGACGGACATTTTTCCAAGGACATGTTGGGGCCAACGTAATAACAACACAACTGTGGACAGCAGTCATATAAAACTGATTCTATTGCAGATAGAAACATGACTTGTGACTTGGTCTCTTTCCAGTTTGGTAAAATTGACGGCTCTGATTTAAAGACATACAGTAATTTTTCAAAAGCATCTTCTATTGAATGGGATCTGCCTTTGAGTGCAAAAGCACGAAGAATAAGCTGATTTGTTTTGGTGAGGTCATTGGCTAAGCATACTATCAGGTTAGCTTCTCTACAGTGACATGCAAGGCACAATTGGCTATTGCTCACCTAACTCTGCTAGCTGCTGCTCGAGTTTCTTGCCTATATTATCCCAGAAGGGCAACCAGTTCATATTTGCCCATTTTCCTTGTTCTTGCTATCCTTGTTGCATTGGATCATATTGATGGAATTTCTATCTGAGTTTTCATCATCTATCTTTTCATCTTTATCTTCATTCATACATAACCAGTGTTTGCTTATGCAAAACATTATGAGTCTCACTGAACAATCCCCACAAGTATCCCATAACTGGTTGCTTTTGCCTTCAATATCTCCAGTGTTGTTAATCGCAGCATGCTGAACTTTAATGTGGCCAACATCTCCCTCCTCTATCTGTTTGTCCTTGGCTACCTCCAAAGGTGTTGGCTGTTTACTCCAACTGTGTATATTCCTGTGCTGGTATGGAGAGGAGGCTATAATATAATAAAGTGCCTGTAGCATTCTATGCTTATACTCTGTACGCACACTAACTATCTGTCCACCACAGATGCAGAGCCTCTAAGGTTCTGTGGCCTTATGTCTAGACATATTTTGGGTGTTTGGATATTTGCCTTGATTCTTCCAAGGATTTGTCACACAATATCTGCCATCCCTGGTGTGTGTACTGCTTTCAGCCATACCCATAAGTGCTCTATACCCTATGTTCCAAGTTTGGCCTGATGTGCCCTCTCTCAACTTAGTTCCTTCTGCAGTATCCTATTTAGGACATTGTCCATTACCAGAGTGCACACTCAATAGAGCCATTTGGCAAGTGTCCTTCCCACTGAGTAAAGTGCACACCTTAGTCATGGTACTTTATATTGGGAGCTGACAAACTGGATATGTCCACTGGTTGCCTACTATGCATACACACCATTCCTGCACAAGTCTCCTCAACACTACTATAAAAAGATGGCAGATTCTTGACCTGTTTCTACAAGTCTTTTGTGAGATATTAGTTCTCAGATACAAGGATCTAGAGCAACAAAAACAAGAAAGCTGCCGCTATGAGACTCGTTACAAAGCAAGTTCTACAAAACAAGAACTGTGAGCTAGAAGAAGACATGAGAAGGCTAAGAAGTATGCAAATTCATTCAAGTTTTGTTCCATTTACTCCCCCATAATCTTTTCACCTCTTATATTGAAATTCTCAACAAGGTAAATTATTAAAAACCAATGATGCTCGTGCTGAAGCCAAATATGCAAAGCTAGAGGCAGAGAAGGCCCACCAAGAAGCTGAAGATATTGCTAGAAGTATTGGGAAAGACAGGCCAAGGAACATCATATCTAAACCAAAGAGTGAGGAAATGTCTGGGGGCACTCACAGGTTGTTTAGGGCTATGAAGTTAATAGACAATTAATACATATACTTAGTAATTCAGTTGGCATTTTCTTTGCCCTCAGTGTTGTATCTACTAGTAACATCCTTTCAGTCTATCATATGTGACCTTGTTCACAAGGTCCAGCTCAATTTGCAGGCTGGATATTGCAACCAAACTCCTAGAGATCTAGGAAATCTTTTTAAAATGGTAAGTGGTCTATTATATTCACGCTGAATGCCTGTGTTAGCATATAACCAATAGGCTCAGCACCAACAACTGTACCTATCCCAGTTTTAAAATAATTGGGCCACAACAGAGCTTGTCAAGCAGTGCCTTAGCACCAGACGTAAAAGTGACTTGCGCAAGAGGAGAAAGATCTTATCTACAAATCAACACTCCAGCAGGCCATCTTATATTGACCAATTACAGATGAAAGAATTAGATGATGGTATTCCACAGCAGGGTCAGAATCATGACAAAGAGTAGTAGGCATGCATATCATTTTCAATAACTATTTAATACCACATATGCAAATAAACATTGATAAAACATATCCACAGTCTGTACAGTGGAAAGTTGGAAACTCTACACAAGAAAAAACATAATACAATGTAGCAAGCACATATTAGCCTAAATGTTTCTACTATTAGTTTAGCACATTCATAGTCAGATTGTAAGCTTACCAATTGTGAAAAAAACACGCCCTAGACCAATACTCTTGGAGGAGCCTGCCAACTAAATCCCCTAGACAGTTTAGACATATTATCAGGCATGATCAGGTCACCACCTTCAAGAATACAGGCACAGTGTGATGGTACACAATCATCTGATTTTATGGCAAACACTGTTGAGTTCTTTGTGAGCAGCAGATATACAGCCCTTGTAGTTGTTGGTTTGTATTAGATGTTGCTGCCACTTTTGCTTGGCACTAACAGTCACAGCTTGTATAATATGGCGAGACTTGTGTGCGGCCTCTAGGCTTCTCTTTGCCTCACCAGAGTCTAATTTTATGGGGATGCTTGTTTCAGGCTAGTTATAATGTCATTACCATAATCTCCACATTATTTTAATGTCACTCACCTGCCCAGTAAGATCTTTTGCACCTTTTAAGAGTTCAAATAAAATATTCTCTTCCATATCTTTATCTTTATTACCCTCCCGATTAAACAAATATTTAGACAAGGAATTTAAAATAGGGGTCTGTAAAGAATAGTTATATGTGCATGGTGAGGAGACCGGGGATAGCAACAAAAGAATAGACTGTGAGAAATCTTTCACACTGATTGTTTCAAAAGTGGGATAATTATGCTGACAAAAGGGACATTGAGAGGCGGGACTCTGAACAAATCTGTGACAGTCAGTAGACTGAAGCATGTTCCATAATAATATAGGGTTCACTATTATTCAGCAGAGAGGATGTTGACTAGGATACTGCGTATCTGAACTTATGGTCACTGGGGAACATGAGGCTTTTTTTATGTAAAATTGAGCCCAGCCCAAGTGGACATTAGGTGAGGGCTTCATCTATATCTGGGATTCATGGCAGTAGTCATGTGTGCTTCAATATCAACACAGTGTTGTAGTAATCTACGCTCATACCTTCATAGTGACCTCCATATTAATATTCTATGACTGACAAAGGTCCAAGCCACTGACTGCAGTCAGCAGCTGTCCATATAACTTTGCTCTATGAGATATCCCTTTCTGCACGTGTACTCAACCACTGTTCATCTTCACAGAATCTTGGCACCAAATTCTTCCAATGACTTTGTGCCTCCCTGCAGAAGTGTACTGACCTGACTCGTTGGGGGGGTCTGACATGTCTGACCTCTTTCCAAAGCTGACTGATGGTACTTAAGGGGAATGTTAGTGGTTTAGGCAAGTTACACATTTTATTTGACCTTATTGCCCTTATCAAAAATGTGTACCATAGAATATACAATATTCTTCCATACCCCTGAATACAGTGATCATTCTACCATTTGGTATGCTCTGAAATTTGAATGGGCATATCATATTAATATAATCTCAGCAGACATCAGTCCATTTTGTCTAATGGGAATGTGTATCATGCACATGTCTATATCTGCACCACATAGTATACAAAGTATGTTGGTGATTCTCTTCTTTCAATACATATACATATTGACACACATTCCACTCCTTTGACTTGTCAGTGCTTCAATATTATATCTTAGCATACAATGCACCACAGCTGCTCCATTTTGGTGCAACATACTAAGCAATGCTACAGCATCACTACAGAGTACATTTACAACAAACCTATAGCTATATCTCATGTTGACACAGCACTTCATTATCACTGCTAGGCAGTAAAGGATGTACTCCTGATGTCCCGGTGCATTTCCAAATTGGTGTTGTGACTTTCTATTGCATTTACATGCGCTCCAAGCTCCTTAGTTGTTGTAAGTCTTGTCTCTGCTACCCTTATTCAGCTTGGCCTCTTGATAGTGACTCCTGGGGATACCAGTCTTTTACTCTTCACAGATTATATTTAGGGATTTTGAATCCACGTGCTTGCAACTTGTTCACTGTTTGCGTGTACAAACAGTTCAAAAGCAAGTGTCTTTTATCACCTACTAAGTTACATCTAATGGTGAATAATAGCCTATTGCCTCCAGCTCGAGTCAAGTATGTGTCTAATAATATTTTATTATCATCTTGATATTTATAACCATATACTTTTGGACAATTAAATCAACTTTAACATATTTTACTACTTGGGTGAGGATAATCATATGGTAGGTGTGTTCAAGGTGTGTTCTTGTAGCTTAATCAGATAACTGGCTCTAATGTTCTATTATAGTGTGTTGCCTCCAGCTCCCATCAAGTAGGTGTTGAGGTATCATGCAATATTTGTACCTAATATTCCTATCTCCAGTCAATTCCTTCAAGTTCTACCTTCAATGGGGAACTTTTAATGTATCAACATTCTGCAGTCCCTGATGGAGATGATCACAAACAATCTGATTATGGTATTATTAGCTTTGTTAAACTGCCAAGCAATGACCTTTTGCAAGAATTATCAAGATATGGATTGGGTCATGTTACTCCATCTGTAGGGCTCCTTGCTTTACTCAAAAATCCAGTCAAGCGAATTGGTCTAGCAATAGTGAGGAAGTGATAGAGCAAGTAATCCACCCATATGTTCAGATAGAGAGGACATGGCACACACTAAACTGGTACCAGGCGCGCCTGGCTGTGGACAACTACCAAATTTTGAAGGATGCACTCCTTCATGCTCGTGCCGCTGATTTGCTTCACATATTTGGAGTTTTGAACCAGGACATTGTGGATGAACATATTTTTAACGCTACTCAACAATGGATCACCGCTCATCCAAACTCACTGGGTTTGAGTATAGATTATTAACTGTACTTTTTAGCTTATTACACCCTGTCATCAAGCGCTGGATGACTGGCTGATCAACATATGCTTATAATATTTAGGGATAAGATCTATAGCCTGAGGAGTAATGACCGGACTCACTTGAAGCAGGTTGTGGAAGAGGGGCCTCTAACTTCTTGTTCTAATACCAATAGAGGTAAAGGCAATAAAAAAGCGCAAAATATATCCAGCTGTGGTGATAGTAGGCCATCTTACAATTTCTTCTGGTCTGGTGATAGACAATAAACAAGATCTGAAGTCCAGTTGATGGTTTGCAATCTCCTCTCTAGCTACTGGGATTCAGTTTGGCCAGTATATTAGATAGTGCAGTAGAATATCCCCTTATTATATTATTGTATATTCAATGTATGATCTGATTTATTGTTGATCTCAGGGGAAACTCGGTAGCACCACTCCAACACCCAGCTTTTGAGGAAGCTGTACCATTGGTTCTCTTCAGCGGTGATCAAGTTATCAGCTTACCAGATACATACACATATGTTCTTACAATCATAAGCAAAGAATGTGTACATATTATTTTAATATTTAATAATTTGTGACATAGCTCTGCCATGCATTCAACTGTTGATGCTCAGGATTGTGATCAGATGATCCTATTAAGAACAAAGCTTAAAGAAAGTGTCTAGCCACTTGCTGAGAGCAATCAAGGACTGGAAACTAGAGTCCAATGTGAGTAACTTTATTATTAGAGAGTATAAGATGTATACAGTACCTAGAGTCCAATGTGAGTAACTAGAGAATAGGTCCATTCAGCAGTGCAAATTACCAACACATTTTCCTCCGAGCGTTAGAATATGTGAGACAAATTAATGCAGCCTAGTCCCCAATTCAGGGCATGTAGGACTTCACTGTGGATTGAAAATGTTGATGCACATAAGTAAGTTTCTCCCGCTCAATTTTAAAATGAACTGATGTAAATCCACCCCCAGCTTTGTCCCACTGGGTATATCAGAATCAGCTGATAAATCTTGAGTATCATCACCGGTTACACATTTTCATCAACTTCCTCTGACTGGCACTGAGGATCAAACTTCACTGGTTCCCACTGCAGCACATTCATTAACAAATGAATCATACATTGGATTAGCTGCTCCTGTCTATCCCCATGCCCAAGCACTGTCAGATATGTTGGAGCCATTGGATGCAGCAATTTGTCAAATTGTGCAACCTGCACAAGCTCTCAATGCAACTCATGGACTACACCCTGAACAAATTGAGGAATATAATGGCTAGTGGTCCTTTGCATTGTCAACCCCTCGCCAAAGGCAACACTCTTTCTAGGCCAGGTTTGTACTTTCTGCCAGTTTGCAATACACACCTTGCATATCTGAGTTTCATCTGACTGTTTTTTTTTGAATATACACATACACATTCATACACTATGCCTTTTCTGTCTACTTTATGCTATATTTTATGTCACAATTTCTTTCTTAGCCCCGTTGTACTGCACTAAGTTCTTCCTCTCTATACATGTTATCCCATGCTACAGCTGATAGTTTTGTTTTTCACTATTTTTTCTTTGGCTGTCTTTAACTTTTTGTGAAATATACAGTGTACTGGGCTGTTCAAACCTGGAGGAGATGGATATTAGCCTGGAATTTATATTGCCAGTTTGCAGTGTTCGACAATAATCCTCAAATTCAGTACTGCCCTCTCCTAGAAATGGTATATTCATTGCTCATCCATTGTGAATGCAAAAAATATACAGATGTATGACATCAATCAAGGAATTTATTTATTTGCGGGTGATGTTCTTATTTTCTGTGGGCCTCAATCATGATCAGTTTTGGCCCAATTGAGTGCAAACAATTTTGTGTCAGACATAATATACTGACTCACTGACTTTTCATAATTAGTGCACTAAAACCCAGTTAACAAAACCCAAGTGGATTGATTCTTATGCTGAGAGCTCAAACTGAAGACACAACCACAACAATTGCCCCAACCCAACTACTGCACACACCAACCCACTGCCATTATATATTGGGTTACCAGGAATCTAGGTGAGTGCCAGACCAGAAATTCTCTCTGAACTAATAACCTTATCTCCATCCACCATCTAACACCTTCTTACTTAATTCAGTAATTATTGCCAGCCCCTATGATTGAGAAAACCATCTGTTTTGCAATTGGGCTTATTGCTGGCTTGGCTTGCAAGCATGTAAGTCAAGTTATTCACATTTTCTTACACTGTTAACTGATATGGAAATAATGGACTGTACAGCTACTGATGCGACAATCTGAAGTAAACGTCATTTACGCTGTCTTGTTGATAAAGTATTTGATATGGGATAGCTACCAAAGCTTCTTTATCCTAGGGTTACCGGAAGTTTACAACCTAAGCTGGACAACATGTAATAACCTAGTTCATTCGTGGGGTAGAAGTTAATGATCCCTTATATTGTGAGTATGTCAATAGTCCTTGTGCTCTGGAAGACTGATATGACAATGGTAGATATGTCCTTGGTGATATAAAGGACAAGTGGTAGTATGTGAATAGAGGTATAAGGGTACATGAGAGTTTGAAGTGTTACGTGACTAGCTTCAAGATATAGCCAACACTAGGTGTGACAATGATAGTCCTCGCTTGTTGAGAGACTAATAGAATAAAAACAATAGTGTCCTACACTTGATAAAGGACAAACTATGATACACTGATGGTCAATAGAAGGGTGAAGCAATACTTGACTATGCTTCAGTGAATGACTGTAGATGAGCTTACACCAGATCAATAGATGACTGATATAAGTTTGAGATGAACTATAGAATACTAGAACTACTGGTGGCAAATAATAAACAATAACAGACTGTAATCACACTTGGACTACTGTTATCTGTGAAATGACTTGATGACTAAGCTTCCTAGGGTGGGCAATAAATCTTGTATGCTTTCTAGGCAAAAGCTAGTTGACTTCTGAGTGGTTGTCTACTTATGTGGAGACTGCTTGTAAGTAAAAGCTTTTTTTTATTAGGTGGAAAATTGGCCTTTTTATATACCTTTTGGCTATAGGGGCTCCTTCCTAGTTGGTAATTACAAATGATAGTACCAAAATAACTAATGGGAATTCAAGGCCAGAACCATCTATTGGGAATCTAGATGATTCTAGAGCGGTCTTTTTGAGACTAAAAATAGAAAAGTAATTGGAAAATGTGGAGCAAAATATGACTCAGTCAGGCACAGTGTTCTATTTATAAGAAACAAATGCCAAGTCAGCCTTCTCCACAGTAAAACAAGAATTTGGAGAATTTCCTTATTTGGAAGCCCTCAAAAAGTATCCAGACTGAAAGGGGCACAGAATTATTACCTACTCCCCCAAAACCGGAGTGATTGGTGAAGTGGTTGTTGAAAAAAAGGCAGATTATGTCATGGAAAATTCACTTTCCCTTTTCAGAAACTGACCATGTGCAAGACATGTGGTCAAATTTCAGTGTGGCTGCCAGTGGCTGATAGTAAGTGTGATACAAGAATTCTTGTTTGACTCATATCTCCAGAACTAGCGGTCATCAAAATATAAAACTTTGCAACACAGTATTTTGGGATGTGTACTTCAAGATGAGGTACTTTTGGTGGGGTACAATATGTTGTGGAATGCCATGTCCATACACAAAACCTTTTTCATGTATGACAACACAGCCATAACAATTGTGTTAACAATATTCCTTAGTAGGAAAATCAAAGTGTGAGTGTACATATTCTGCGGCGGCTGGTCATTCATTTGTTCCCGCTAATTATTATAATAGCGCAATTTAGTGAGCATAAACTCATTCACAAAATAATATTGAAAACTATCTGACTCAAAAGAAGGCCATGAGATCAGCTGGTTTTGCCCAGTTTGGATCTGATGCAGTTGCCAATGGCATGTTTAATGATGTTTGCGGCAACCAATACGATATCAATATGATGGGTGATTATAGAGGATTTAGAGTAGTATACATATAGTTTGGATTTTACAACTGTTTCATTGGTTATATTGGATAGGAAGTTTGAAGGGTACATTGTTTATCTTGGATTCTGGTTTTAACACCTCAATTCCAGCGCTCACATTATAATTTTCAGAAAAACTTAGATGAAGCACTATATTGCCTCACTATAGCTACACATCTCCTAATAATAGCAAGACTGTTACGATACACAATTTTTGGACCTTTAAATTTTATCCTCCACTTTAACTTTCTTCTGTAGTTTCCACACACTGTGCCATGTGGCACTTTCTATTTCTGTTCAAACTCCACTTTCTCAAGCTGCGCTGCTTTTCTTTATTCTTAGTTATGAGTCTCTCACGCAGTAAAGCTGGTCACACGGGCTGTGCCCTATGACATCATCAGCCACTGCCTTCATCAACTGTATAGTACACATATACAAGTAGTCTGTAGTAGTATAAATACCTTAATAGATCAAGGAGACTCTTCAGTGAGTTGTCCTATTGTTTACCCACAACTAACTCAATCCTATCTTAAGGGGTAACCACTCCCGCTCACTTCACTACTGCTTGTCTGAGTTGTGCGCCAGAGTATACAACATCTTGGTTGTTAGAAAGACTGTATGTTTTTTCTTCAGTGTTGACTATCTACTCAAGTGAAGAAAGCTAATGATAGTGATTGTGCCTTATGCATGCATCTTCAAGAGTTATCCTGTGTAAGATCAATCGTGTTGGGCTGTCCAGTCCATACAATCAATTGAACACACTGGTGATGATGAAAAATGTGTATTGTCATCACCAACCCACAAGTACACATTGCAAAGAGACAAATAAAATCCTCCCTCATCAGCCCAGGGTAAGTCAATCTTTCTAGTCAAAGTACTTTATCAATAATGGTTTCCGGGGGATAAGCAGGTGACAGACAATGTTCAATAGTTGCAACAATATCATCAATCCCTGGATAAATTATTAACCAGCCTATGTTGTATCAGCTGAGGTATTTTTTGGCTGATAGGTACATACTCAGAGGCCTCCAATCATTCTCTGTCTCACAATCTTCCAGATTACACGTAGACAAGGAGCCTCACTATCTGTGCAAACCAGTGAATTCATGTTATGCACAAGTATCATGGCTGCATATGTACATCACAGTAAGAGTCTAGTCACCATTAGGTCATTTCTAGAATACATACAGTCCATACTGATTGACCACAATTATTGAGTTTGACAGACAACACAAGGAAATAAAAACTCACTGTAATAACCATAGTGGTGATTAGCACACACTGCAACATACTCTCTGACAGAAGGACCACCCTTGGCTAGGTATATAGCAGTTTTGGTGTATGAGCCCCTATCATTGAGGGTGATAACACAGAGGCAGCAAGGTCTGAGAAAATTATAGAGCCATCAATGTTCTGCTATGTTAGAGGGGATAACCCGCTCCCCAGTGTTGGTGATAGGCCTGGATTACAACTATGGTTAGGCAAGTATGTCAATATGTCTGTCTTTGAGCTTTACCATAACCATGGGTGCAGGTCTCTAGCTTCTGCATTAAAGTGAAGAAATAATCCATTGTCCAAGACCTCCTAACACCGAATGCAACAAATATATAGGTGGCATACTGTGTTGGTCAGTTCACTCATTGGTGAAGGGAATTTTGGATGTGGAGGACATGATGTATGTTGTATACCAGGCCATGTTTATATGCTGGGTTGAAATGTTAACCAGGTTGCTGACCAATTGCAGAGCATGTGAGCTGGCAATCTAAGATATAGTGAGATATAGTCCTTGATGACATGGGTAGTGGCTATGTACTCAGATTCTGTGCTCAAAAGGGCAATGATAGGTTGTTTCTTTGCACCCCAGATAACAGGTAAGCCATAGAATGAGATATGTCCGGATATGGAGTGTTGGTGACTCTGAGATGCATGGTCAGCATCTGTGTATGATAGAATAGTGTTGTTGTCTGGATTTGATCTCAAACAGAGTTCTTGAGTGCCCTTCAGGTAGTGTATGATTCTTTTAACTGTGTCCCAATGGCATTTACCAGGATTTTGATTGAATTGTGCTACAATGTCTGTAGCAAAAGCTACAACGGGGCAAGATCCAAGTGCTATCCAGGTGAGGCATTCTACAGCCTCTTTGTATGGAATGTTGCTCATTTTGTCATACTGTTTAGGCGTAGCTGGTGATTGTTCAGTGCTGAGAGTCAGGCCAGGTTCTAACGGAGTGGGTGCTAGCTTTGCATTTTTTAGTCCAAAGTGTTTGACCTTTGTATCTATATATACTTTCTGGGATATGGCTATGGTTTGAGCCTCTCGGTCATACTTTATGGCAAATCCAAGCAGCCACCTGATTTCTCCAAGGTCGGAGACTTCATAAGGACTTGTTAGTTGATGCTTGAAGTCGTTGATAGCTTGTAGCGTGTCTGGTGTGATTACGATGTTGTCAATAGATATGGATAAGACAACAGATTCATTTGGTTTGTGGTAGTAAAAGATTGCATGGTTGACCGCTGATCTTATAAAGCCCATATCATGTAGAGTGTGTGTGAGTGTTTCATACTACTCGTGGCCGGCTTGCCTTAGTCCATATAGGCTCTTCTTGAGCTTAAAGACCTTGTGAGCGTCCTTGGCTTTCAAGTAGCCTGGCGGTGGCTTCATGAAGACATCCTTCTTGAGCGTAGTATTTAGGTAGGCATTTTTGATGTTGACTTGGTGGATGTGCCATTTCTGGCTTGCTGTATTAGCTAATACTGCCCTTACAGATGGTAATTTGGCAACAGCGGCAAAATATTTTGTTGAAGTCAAAGCCTTGTTGTTGTGTGTATCTGTTTGCAACTAACCTTGCCTTGTAGCGGGATATTTGGCCATTTTAATCTGATTTGGTTTTGAGGACGAAATGTGACTTGATTATGTTGGCATTTGGTGGCGAAACCACAATGTCCCAGGTGCATAGTTTCTCTATCTCCTTTATCTTGTCATCCATTGCCTTGCGCCATTTGTTGGTGTTTGGACCTGTGAGGACCTGGGTTACTGATGGTGAGTCTGCGTTATGTGACGCAAGCACTTGATGAATGATCAGAGCAAACTCTGATTCATAGTTGTCGCCATTTTGCATTAGATTGCCATCAACATTTTTCATCCATGCTGATGTTGCTCTTCTGCTGTGATTCTAGGCCAAGTAAAATCCTGGAGGAGGTCAAGGACAACTTGATCGCTCAGTGGGAGGGTCTTGATTAGTGTTTGGTGGTTGGATGCAATGTATGAGATTGGATGTAGCGGCTTTGTCTGGTGAGTTGTTTTCTTCTTTTGTTTCTGTTTTGATTTCTTTTTTAGGACTGTTGCAGTTGGTTTTAGGCATCTCCCCTTCAAGCACAACAGTACTAGGTGAGTTTTTGTTTTCAGAATCTTTGCTTGTATATTTGCCGCCGCCATCTGATCTCATTTGTTTGATTTTAGTTTCGTTGTTTTGAGTGTTTAATTGTTTGACAAAGTCACAGAATGATGCGAGGGCTTTGTCCTTTGTTGAAATATATGGTAATTTCACAAGAGAAATTGTTGGTAAATGATATGTAGTGATGTTTGTTTCCAATTGATTTGACTTGGGCAGGTCCCCATACATCCATATGAATATGTTCTCTATAGTATTTTGCACGGGTGAGTGATTCCTTTGGTACTGGCAGCCTTGTCATCTTTGCTTTGACACAGGATTTGCAGAACTTGTTATTGAACAGTTTGTTCAGCTTGATTCCTTGGACCGTTTCTTTAGACAACATTGTCCTTATAGAGGATGGGGCTATGTGCCACATGCACTTGTGTAGGTAGTTCATTGATGATTGGATGAGGCTGTATCGGCTTGAAAGATTTGAATTTTGTTTTGTCCGGGCAGAAATGGGATGTAGCACCAGAGTCTACAATGATGTCCAAGTTTTGTTGTTGGCCGGATTGTGATGCAGTATTAGACATTTTAAAGGTGGTGAATGCATAGTTATTTTCAGCAGTGAGTTCACAAGCTGTATTTGCATGGTCCTTCTTCTTTCGCTGATTTGGACCTTGTCCTTCTTTTCCACCACCCTTTCTCCAGCACTCTTTGTCTGTGTTTCCTTCTCGGTCACAGTTTGAGCATTTTGTCTTTATTTTGGTGGGTTTCAACTTTTTTTTTTTTGTCTTGGGCATGAAGAGCTGATTCAATTGATTTTTTTGTGGTAGATCAATAGTCAGCTTCTTCGGTAATGTGAAGAATAATTTGCCGAGACAATAGAGGGTTATTTGACACTCGTGCAGCTGCAGTAATGAATGATAGTAGAGGGCAGTACAATTCCGGTAGTGAGGACATTATTATTGCACTGAGGTCTCTTTTGGCTACTGGTGCACCCATCCCAGCTAATTTTTCTCTCAGTTTGATCATTTCTGACAGATGTGTTTTAACATTTTCAGCAAAGCTCTTGGAGTTTTTGTCTTGTGTTAATTTGGACAATCTCACTCTTTCCTTTATGGATTCAACAGATTTTGTCCCATGTGGCTGCAGCAGTGGGGAGACTTTGAACTTGATAGTTTATGCTGTCGCTAACAGTTGTATACAATTGTTGTAGCACCATAGCTTCACTTTTGAAGGTATGCATCTATCTAATTTTTGTTTTCCTCTATGTCAGCATCAAATGCCTTTGTTGTGCCATTGTGTAGGAGTGTGTGAGTGCCATCAGATGACATGGGGTAAGCCTTTGGATTTTGACACGTCCATGCAATTGCTGAAGTAGGCCTTTGGCTGACAGGGCCATGACTGTCCTGGACTTCCATAGAATCCAGTTTGATGTGTCCTCGGATAATTTTGGGACAGCATAGATACCCAAGAATGCTGATGGGAACACTTGATCAGTAGTGTTTGCGTGGCTCATAACCTGTGAGCTGGCAATCTAAGATATAGTGAAATATAGTTCTGACTGCCTCAGAGAGCTGAGGTAGTCAGAGCTGTGATGCGACGGATGTAGCAAAGCTGTGGCTGTGGTATTAGTAACCGTGAAGTTGGAGATACTGTAATCTAATACTTGGTATGACTATTGTAGTTCAAACAGAGCAAACTCTGTAATTAGCCGATAAGTATGATAGTTGACATAGTCAGCTTTATATCATATGAGGTGGCATTATGGATGACTTGTCCAGGTTAATCGCCCACAAACCTGATAATGCCTTTCCTGGCACTTGCCACAATCTAGAAAGGACCAATGCCAACAGGAGTCAGAGGGAAAGTGCTTTACATCTTGGTCAGAGGAAAAGACTGTTAGCATGCTTCAGATTTCCCAGAGACTTGGCTGATACATTGACCAGTGGTATGACAGATTTTTTGGTGCTTTATGGTAGGCATATTGGGAGAACAATTCATGCTCTATGCAATATCAAAATTTACTAAAATGGCATCCAATGTTTGGATGAGCTCGCCAATATTAATGTGGAGGGCAGAAGTGCCCCAAGTGCTAAGTACATTTATTCATTTTCTTTGCACCAGGTCCCTAAAAATCAGTTGCTCATGTTTATATTTAGGGGACTTAGAGAGCAAGTTGTGTTTGAAAACTTGTTGCAAATGGTACCTGGTTTGGATATTTATTTCTGTGAAAGCTCAAGAGAGCAAAGGGACATGATAGGTGAATTGGTTAGCTCAAGCCACCACATCTTACGATTCCTTCAACTGATCTATTTTTGCTCAATATCCAATGGGCCTCTGGGGCTTGGTGTTACAATACATAATTTTTGGACTTACAATTTTCTTTTTCTGCTTTAACTTTTTTCCTTAGTTTTCACATGCTTGTGCGATGCAGCACTTTCCTTTTGTTCAAACTCCGCTTTCTTGTGCTACACTGCTTTCCTTTATTCTTAGCTATAAGTCTCTCACCTAGTGGAGCTGGTCACATGGGCTACATCCTATGACATCATCAGCCATTGCCGTCATCAACTGTATAGTACACATATACAAGTAGTCTGTAGTAGTATAAATACCCCAATAGATCAAGGAAACTCCTCAGTGAGTCCTCCTGTTATTTACCCATAACAAACTTGGTCCTACCTTAGGGATTTTACCCACTCCTCCATGTATCCTCTATAGCTTGTTGTCATGTGCACCAGAGTATAAAAACTTTGGTTGTAACATTACTCGCTCTTACTACTCTTTTGCACTTTGTGCAAACTTGGACCACAGGGTTAAGTGGACATCTTTTCAACAGTAAGACTTGGGTGCAAGTTGGGTGTTAAGCTTTTGCTAGCCCACGGAAACCAAGTGTGTGCCCCAATCCTGCAGGTGAGCTCCTTATGATGGGGTACTAGAGAGAATCAAAAACCAAACAATACACAGCCCGCAGTATTAAGGGGAGTACTTGGTACAGCAGACAGTGTGGAACCTCTATTGCTAGTTTACATACAAAACTTCTATTTCTCTTTCCTCTGACCAGGCCGGGCACTTGCCTCCGCCAGTCTGGAGAAGGGTTGATAGCCTAATAAGCAGACCACCCCCTGACAACCATTTAGACCAGGGTTTATTATGTTTACTTTTTATATACTTTTCAAATATGATAGTGTGGGTAGTTGGAGATTGAGATCCAATATTCAGCTGGGAAGAGGTAGATCCGCAGATAGCAAGCAGGGACCCCCAGTTACTTTTTTTTTTACTTTACAAAGAGAACAAGTTGCCATGTCAGCACAAGAACAAATGGTGGACATGAATGCCGTCCTTTACCGGATGTGGGAGAAAATCACAAATCTCACCACACAACTCAAAGAAATCCAGAACACTCAGAACGCTGATACCGTTGAACGGAAGTTCAACAAGAAAGTTTGGATCAAGGCAAACTGGGACATGTTCGCCAATGATTTTGAAATAGTAACAGTGGTGCTGTCAAGACTCCAAGAGCATGTGGTGGGTTGATATGCTAAAGTTAAACTCCAAGAGTGCTACACCTCAGGGCATTGGCCTACTTGGAAAGAAATCTAAGTTGAAACTGAAAAATATTTCAAACCCCAAGCTGAGCATGACTGGATATGTCAGCAAATCTGTGCCTTCAAACAAGAGGATGGATGATTTTGTAACCCAGTTCCTGGCCCTCTCCATCCAAGGGGGTTTTGGTAATGAACACATAGTAGATTTGCTGGAACACAATGTGAACCCCCACATTGCAGAACAGCTCTACCTGTAGGATATGAGGAGCAAAGAGCTCTTGCAAGCGGCGGAAAAAGTCTGCAAATTTGGTAGGGCTATGGAGCTCTACAAAATGCAATTTGGTGGTGGCTCCACCATCAAAAACAACTATTCCCAGAGGCGCCCTGGGTCATCAAACCAAAACAACAATCACTCTCACAGGTTCAAGCCATTCAGGCTGCAGCCAGGGCAGGGTGCTCCTATAGATATTGGTGTGGTCCAGGGCAGACAGATGCACAGATTTAAGGGAGGGACACATGTCCCAAGAATGCCAAAATGGGGTGCAGGCTGCCCCCACAGAAAAATAATAATAACCAAGGGCACCAGGCACGCCAATTACAAACTGAAAAACCAGATAATCAGCTCAATACTCTGGCCGGTTGTTTGTACAGCAAAATCTGGGCTTTATTTTACAATCAGCAAGTCACTGAGATGAAGGCTCAGGGAAAAGAGTTCAGAGCTTAGGTCACTTGGGTGCCTTTGCTCCTATTAATGATGAAGTAAACCACAACAAGGTGGCCCCTGCTCCGGGGTGTTGCACAAGCAATAAAGGAAAGGAGGTGGCTCCCCATTTTGTAAATAGATTTCTAAATTTATTATCTGAGCTATCACAGGGGGAAAATACTAATTTTTCCTCAGATAAAATTGTAATAAAAGTATGTGCAAAGACAAAATAGATACACACATTTTCTCGAAATAAAATTGTAATAAAACATAGAATTATGGCTTGAATTTACTACTTTTATCTCATGATACAACCATGAGGAACATTTGACCTCAATTATTATTTTTTCTCACCAGAAAATATTATGCATAGGATCAGATCAATTATGTTGTTGGCAGATTTTAGTTCAACTCATTTTGCTGAGTAACTAGTGACCAAAAGACAATAAAATTCAGGCTTTATCTCTTTGTAACAATCAAGATTTTTTTTTTTTCTTCATGATTTTTCTCCACAATCAATTTTGAATTTGCAGTCAGAAAGAAAACAGTTAAAATCCCAATATAAAATAAAATGCAAGGAGATAAAACATGACATATGCAGACTTCTTTGTTTAATGATGTTACACTCAAATTAAATTAAATTTTACCTTGCAAAAAAACTTTTATCAGCTTGAGGATCCGGTAAACATTGCTACTACATTTCAAAAGCACTTGTATTTTTTCTACTTTTAAAACACATATCATCTATAATATTTTTCTCAGTTTTATGGCCTTCTTTTTTGTGTAAATATGGAGATTGTATATATAATGTTTCTTTTATTTCTAAAATTTTTTCACATATGGAACAACGATACTATAAACAGCTTTTTTTTCCAGAAAAAAATCTGGAAAAATATAATTGCAACACTTGTCACTACTCTCAACTCACAATCAACTGTTGATTCCAGGAAATCATCAGTAGCATAGTTGAACCAACAACCAACAATCAACATCAATAGGCAACAGTGCAATAATATGTTTACAATTTTAATTGCCTTTTTTCTACCATTATAATTTTCATTGTATATCTGATGTACTTCACAATGTATATTACATTTTATCAAAATGTATTTATCATATCATATCACTATGCAGGTTAGTAGACATTTAAGGTTGTTTGAATGGTGTCAGATGCCCCTGACAGCAGTCTTTAAGTGGGCTAAGGTACCCTGTGACAAAACCGGATAAACCTGGTCTCTGCTAAAGCAGCCATTGTGCTCCATGGAGCATAGCAACTATTCCATGGAGTCACCATTGTTCTACTAGGAGTCATTATACCTTAGCAAGTAGCACCTCCAACTATAAGTAGTAGGGGGTTTAGTATAGGAATACCTCAGTCATATAGCCTCTTAGGCAGTGGGTGAGGTATATTACATTACATTTATTAGAGATTACCTTTAACTGACATCTATTGTAGTTTCACTTAGGTAAATAATGTAGTTGTTTCTATAGCCTCTTAGGCAGTGGCTGAGTTTCACTTAGATTTATTACACTGAAGCTCCAGAACAGTCTTTAAGCAAGTTGAGGGGCTCTAAAAATCCATCAAGCACTTTTGTTTGGGTGTTGATGATTTCAGATGCAGATACTTAGATCTATTTTTTGAGAAACTTAAAGCATTGTGAAGCTGCATGAAGCATCTCTGATCTATGTGTCATCCTTTCAATGCTCCATCACTCTGCCATGAATTTGTCTGTACTACAAACTACCTCTCCATCTGTATATTTTCTCACACATCCCCCCATACTCTGTATGGAAATTGGTTTGAGAAATGCCCTGACATTTGACACTTGTATGAAATCAGATCTTTGCTCATCCAACCACCATAATCCCAAGGTCTCTGAATGCTTGTGTGAATATATACTGATTGGATATGACTCAGACTCTAAGGCTTCAGAATTATTTGGGGTTCTTTCTGGGTTCACTGCAACCAACATTTGTTCACATCTCAATCTCACACCAATTTTCCGTTGCAACAACACCCCTTTTACCAAAATAGCAAATAGCTCTTGCTGCAAAACCTGTGGCTTGTAGTCAGAGAATTTGCTGCAATTATAAGAGAAGTAGTAGGCACAGCTGCCAATGCAATATCAGGAGTGTCTCAGTTGATACTGGTAACAAGAGGTTCAGACATTGCAAGCTGTTGTACTCAGCTAGGTCAGCAGTTGAGAGTGTCATATCCATGCCGGAAGACAAAACTTCAGACACTCCAAAGGGGACATTCCTCAAGTCCGAACTGTAGTTTTTGTATCTGTAACAAAGTGATACTCAGTCTCTTGTATGAGGACTCAGGTATATTCAGCTATTACCTGTAACAAAGTGATACTAGGTAGTAGCTTTCAGTAAATATAAGAGTATGTATGTATGTATAAACTTACCTCAGTCTCTTGTACGAGGACTGAGGTATCCAGGAAGTGTGAATCAACAACTTCTATAGTAGTTAAATGTCTGATGACAAAATAGGAAATTGGCTCTCAGCCACCACTGGAAGTCGTGGTAGAGAGCTATAGTGCATGAGGCTCAAACCTGATTAGCTTGGGCAGATATGCAACAACACGGACCCCCCAAACTTTTGGTACTCTTGGGATTATGCTCCTCATGTCCTGCCAGTTGGCATGACCCTGTGCCCCATCCCCACAAGGTATTCTGGACATCCGCCCCAATCCTCCTACACCGGACTTCTAGTCTGCTATACGTTTCCTATGCATGTTTTTGTGCTCCTTGTGGACTCTGTAGTTTAGACCTTATGGTACACTCCTTGCACATACATTTCTCCTCCGCTAGATAATTGTCCGCATGGAAGTCCATACCTACATCAAATAGATTCCCTTGCCCTTCTACAAGTCCTTTTCTAAGCTTTCTGGTCCTTCTCCTAAGGACCTTTACTCTGCTCCTTTTTTATCCTCTACTCTCATCTGTTCATTCCGACAAGTTAGGGATCAAGGTCCGCAAAAGGGCCTAGTGCAGGAGCTAAGCCAACTCCCAACCTTGTACTCCGTTGCTCCTCCTACTCCATCTCTGCACTCTGAAACCCCAACACTCCAAAAGGTTATGGTTCTGACAGAATGACTCGCTGTGGATAAGGCAAGTAAGGCAGTGTTGGGGGTACTAGCATTGCTAGTGTTTCTTGAACCAATATCAATGGGCACAGAGCCGGGTTGGGAGATGTTGTTGATGATGAATACCATGCCAAACACTGCATCTACAAGGTAGGCTTTTCTGTTGCTGCTTTTTATCTCAGTTGAGACTTCAAACTTAAATGCCTACTAACTTGCACAGTAATATTATATGATAAATATGATAGATACATAATTCTTTTTCTCAAAGTATTTGCATTATGAAAGCACCTTATACAGCCTCAGAGTGCCTCAGCATGCTTAAAGACCACTATTGGTTTTGAGTTCTTTGTGAAACTTAGTCTGGCCTGCATCTTCCATGATATAGGATCCTCCTGTGTATTCCTCCATATGTCAAACTACAGGATACCAGATGGGATTTAGACTATATATTACAGTGACTGCACAGTACAGTCAAACCAAAACAAGTTTTTTTCTACAAATGAATAACACAGATAAGGTCAGAGATGCTTCATGTAGCTTCACAATGCTTTAAATTGCTCAAAGAATAAATTAAAGTATCTGCATCTGAAATCATCAACATCCATATAAAAGTGCTTGGTGGACCTTCAGAGCACCTCAGCTTATTTGAAGACTGTTCTGGAGCTTCAGGGTACCTCAGCCCACTTAAAAACTGCTGTCAGGGGCATCTGAGACCATTCACATAACCTTAATAGCATAAGAAGTAATGTATGTCTGTCCTTAATGTCACCCGCACGGTCAGGATGTCTCATATGCTGCTGCATTTAATACTGGAGGAAGTAGCAGAAAACATCATATAGTTAACCATTATTCCAGAGATTTTAAGGCAAATAATTGTGACACTACTTGATTGCAATACTGTAATATAATACTCAATCATGCAGAATTCTCTGTTGATGAGCCCAAGTCATCCTCTACCAGGGGTATATCAACCAATTTGACCAACTACAACACACTAAATTTTCAGTATCTTTGGTGGGTTCAATTGGGAACACTTACACGGTTGAGTAGAAGGACATGGATGCTATTATCTCTTGGACATAAGAATCTTGAAGTAATAGACTGTAATCTACGCTCCAACAAGTATGATTCATGAATATCTGCTCCAGCTCATCTGAAATGAATTAATTAGCATGCAGTATGTTTCAGATATCCTAATGTTTACCAAACTTTTGGTTAGTGTTCTCTCTTTGAAGTAGGTAATTATAACGTTCAAATGGGAATATTCTCCAGGCATGTACTGGTCCAAAAAAACAAAGAAAATTACCCAGGTGCATAAGTAATAGCACCAGATAGTGGGACATCACAACCAGGCTCCAATAATGGTGTGGCTGGTGGAAGTAAACATCTAGGATGTTAAGACTGGAGGTTATTAACACTCTGGGTGTTTGCAGATTCAGATTTTTCACCTGCATTAATGTAGTTGGCTGCATAATTGACCTCAATCAAACCACCCTTACATTGTCTCTCCCATTCCATCTCCTTGAATCCATCCAGGCAATCCAGCTCGCAAAAGATATGATCTATGAAAGACTGACACTGCTGAATAACCATCATCATCAAATGAAAAAGTGTCCTCAAATGTCAACAACATAGTTACTATGTCATTTTGTAGTTCCAGAAATTTGTGATTCAAGGGCTCATGGGGATGTAACATATATTTACCTTGATTAACCTCAGATACCTTTTCTATGGGGCGGTGTTCGAATAAATCATTCAGAGAGGGTGGTTGAATAAAAATGAGGTGACAAGGTGGAGCTAATGAGAGAACACATTGATCAATGTTTGACTGGATGTGACAAAGATCATCTAAGCTGGTCTGAGTAGACAGTGTTTATTGCTCATCTTTAACAAAAGATTGAGCTGTAGACGAGTCAGTTGGATTTGACAGTTTCTTACAATATCTTGAGTCCCTGCCTTCTGTTGTGCCTTTGTCTAAATGACCACTACTTTATTTTTCTTCTTCTTTTGCAATTTTTTGTCAACATCTCCTTGCTTGGTGTCAAGCCCAAATTCATCCAAGCCTTTGCTCTCTATCTCTAACTTCAATGCCTCCTCAACCTGATGCCTCTGGAACATTGTCTGATTCAACCATACACCTTCTTGAAGCTGAAAAGTCTTGGTGAAATCTGGTAGAAGAGCCCATTCACCTTGACACTTGCAATATTCACAAAGGAATAAAGGACCAGAACCAACCGGTGAAGGAGGTTTACCATGAATAAGGTTTCCATTTCAAAGCTGTGGCTTTGTCATTGGTGTATGTACAATGTGAAATTGAGAGTGAAGGGGTTGGTAACCTGAAAACTAGATCCTAGTGTAGGCTGAATCAGCAATAATGGATCTGGGAAGAGGAGAAAGTCAGTATAGAGTGGTAGAACTTGCGTGGAAGCACTTATCAACGGTCACAGAAAGTTTGGTTGCCTCATGTCTGGTCAAAGCACATTGGAAGACCCGCCCAAGGAACTGGTCCCAAGCGGATGATGGTGCAGGATCTAGATCCAACTTCAATCCAACTTTCTTTTATTATCCCTATTATTGTCACAATACTACAATGAGGCATCTATGCAGCAAAACAAGGAAAGATTAATGGAGAGACTCACTTGGCTTCTCCAGAACAAAAAAATTGATATAAGTATTACATTGTGACATTCTACCGAGCACAAGGACTAAACAAGGCATTAGACCACTTCATCACTGCCCAATCTGAGCAGGTCTCCCACAACTAGCCAGCCATCCCATCAAGTGGGACAAAATGTCTAGAAGGTGATATCAGAAAAACTCAAGCATAGTACCCCAAATTTTGACCGCAGAGCCACAAATTAGCATGATTATGGACCTGATCTCCCCAATTAGGTGGGGGAAAATTGTAAGAGACTGTACCCAACTAATGTGAGAAGATCAGAAGATCAGGACGAGCAAGGATACTTGACAAATTAGTTGTTTTCTATCCCCCATGTGAGCCCCACTATCCCACCAACAATAACAATGGCAAATGAAACCCGGGTAGGTGCAACAGCCCAGCTTTGCTGTACCTTTGTATCCACACAAAAGATCCTGACCTGGGAAAGACTATATAACTCTTGATTGGGCCGAAGTACAGATGGAATATTACCATACAAGATTTCACATGACTGGTCCAAGGCTGGTTTGATGAATCATCTGAAAGTAATTGATGAGCTTGCTCAAAATTAATTCCTCACTTTGCCTTCCACAGCTGGATATACATATCATCAGTTGTCTCAGCTGACAAAGCCACAATATAGCATGTGCTTTTCCTTGAAAAAATTTGAGATGTTTATTAGGAGCGGGACACTGTAGGCTGTGCCAAAAGCCTCACACGGACAATCTGCATAGTATTATCTGAATGGATGTCAGCTGCTTGGCAAACCAGAAAAATATATTCACATTACCATTATAATCCAAAGCTTGGACATGTTCACCACTGAATGTCTCCCAAATGTTTAGGGTTCTGATGGAAGATCCACAGACCACTGCATCACCATTATGAAGGAAGCATACAGCCAAAAGAAAGTTCTTTTGTGCAATGGTTACTTGCTGATATGACTTGATCGCAGTAGATTGTCCTAGGGCATAAAGAGTCATTCTGTTTTGTAGGTTCAATACTAAAATATAATGGTTGTCCGGAGATAGAGCTGAATAACTGCTATGGGTAAACACATTAGATGGATCAAAGCAGTGTCATAAGCCACACTGAGCGTGAAGTACTCCATACATACAGCCAGCTAGTTTTTTTGCTATCTGCACTTTTTCTCCAATTCCCAAGGCTAGGAAACCGCTCAAACCATCAAATTTCATTGTGTACACCGTCCCCTTCTTTCCAGTAAGGACCTCACTCGCAAGCTGCTGTAGCAATAAATTTAAAACAACTGTATAACAAAATGTGAGTGATCCAAAGGAATAAGATAGTCCTTGCAAGAAATCAAACAGCGGTGAAAATAGTGCTAAATAAATGGTCGGTTAATATCAATCTGTAATGGCATGGAAAACATATACTAACATGTGCTGGAGGGGAAGAATAACATGGCACTTGTGATTATGATTGTGATGCAAATTGGAAACATCCAGGACCATATTATTGTCAGAAGAAGGCTCAAGTAACTGATTGTTGTGGGATAGAGTGGAATAATCCGAGGGGGAGGAGGAGGAGGAGGAGGAGGGGGACATAGCATCTAATTCTGTGGAGATAGATCATTGTTCATGCAAGAGGGCATTTGTGTGACTTGAACCATAATTCTTTGAAACCACTCCAGGGAGGTAAGTTATGCTTATGCAAGCAAAGTAAGTATACTCAAAATGAAAAGAACACGGCTGCTTACAAGACAACAACAAGTATTAAAAACTGGTGAGTGCACAGCGGGCATCAAGATATTGTGAACAAAGATTTAAGGTCAGTGTTGAGAGCTTTAAAGAGAAAAGGGCTTTATATACCTGGCGCAGCGACAGTCCCTTTGTGTAAGAATACCAAACAGGACTCATAGTCTTTCAGGAGGCATGAGGCATTGTTTTGCCTGAGGCTGACATAATCCTCTCATTTTCTAGACATGATTGCAGGTTAGGTCAGAACATCCTCAATGGTTTGTTTACATGCGGCAAGCAACATTTAAAGCAGGATAGAGAGAACAATTTTTTCTAATAGTGAGAAAAGCAAAGATAAAGACTAGCAGACAAAGTGAAAGTATCCAGTGACCCCAGTCTTCAGCCCTGCCTTTCTGCTTGTTGTCTACTCTGAATCTAGACTCCATTGACAACAAAGATTGGGCACTGACCCAGCTGGGTTCTCCACTTCTGTGGATATATAATTGACAATCTTCCATTGTCAGATGACTGAAGCATTGCTTTGAAGGGACCCATCCCTGATCAGATATCATTAGTATGACGTTCAGGGTAAGGCTATATTAGTAACCTTTGAAAAGGTGGACACCCCAACATGTCTGTTATTCTAGCGCTTGTTAAGATTCCCTCACTATTGTTCATTAGAGGGGAGTCCTTGAGGACTGCAGACAATTTATCCTTGATGGATACTGGGAATCACTGTTGCAGGATTGGCACCGACTGCATAAACAATATATCAGTCAAACATCCTGTGCAGAGTAGATCGCAGAACCAAAATCCTTACATCTATTGGCATTTCCGAGAAGTATCCAACACTACCTCATCTCTGTAGCACTTGGTGTAGGGGAAAGCGCTGACATCAAAGAGGTACATCCTTCCAGATCAGAGCATTGCAGTCAATACCAAGAATGGTTATCTTCTAATCCTCACAGGACAGGACAATAAGGTGTTTCAGAAGTGATTTGAAATTGCAGGCAATATCAATATTTGGTGGAAAGACAAGGCTCTTTCATTGCAAAGGCACAAATTCTAAAAGAAATCACTCAGCATAACAGATGGGAATATTGGCAATGTGTGCATACCTTTCTCGAGACCACAATATATACACGCAAACAGCCCGCCACTTGTAATCAAAAGTAATGGTGCTATAGCTCGACCTTTAACCTTTGAGTCCATGCTACATGGTGTTATCAACACAAAGGGAAATAATGAATAGCCAATAGCTGCGGCAATTGATCAATATTACCAATAAACTTGTTGTGTGGGTCCAGCTTTGAACTGCATATGAAGGAATAATGGACAAGGAAACCAAATGATTGACTCTATGACATTATGAGATACCCGTATTCAATTAATTTGTAAGAAATCTCTTAGGCAGTTATGTATCATCTCCTTTGTGTGAAGCCAGATTAAGCCCCAAGTTTTGCTTGCGTACCACAAAAAAGTAAGAACAACATTGATGGTCGCCCCCATCTAGCAAACAGATGAAATGGGTAAAGATAACATCAATTTACTATTCTACATTGAAGGGAAAGACCTACTGCTAACACAGCAGAATCATGATCATTATAGAGGTAATAAGCAATGATTAAAATTGGGATCATCTCCAGGATATAGAACCAAAACTTGCGCATATTCTCCTTAAAACTAGCGTATGCGAAAAAGTTCTGTCAAGTAGAGTCAGTTAGACTGTGAAAGTATACGCAACCTTCCTGTCATAACTGACCAATGCATTCATTAATGAGTCGAGGCGGGTTGTGAGTTGAGCGGGAGCTAGAACAGAAGAAATATGCACCTTTCTTGTTGGAATTGGTGTGTAAAGTATGGGCATAGTTAGGTACAAAGTATTGTCATAGGAGACCGAAGACTTTGTTAACCCTATGTAGACTTACTGCAATCACTATAAAAATGAGTTGAGGAACTCTAATTTAAGACTTGCACCCCCTAACTTTATCCGTGCCTCGTGGACTTTGCTAATACTTATAACAATCCTTTATCTGGTGCGTGCTGGTATATGGATACCAGATTGGAACCTAGCCTAGTGTCATGCACATATATAGCAATTTTCATAGTTTCAATCTTGAGGTGTGTTCTATAATGTTCAACCCTTCAATGTCAGCCATTATGAAACCATCACCAGAAGAATCATATAACTGCGTTCTGGCATAAGGGGGAAGGAAAACAAGTGGGGGTGTTTGTATACTTGAATTTTTTTCCCCTCATTATAATCGCCTCAACGTCAATAAAGCACTGCTAATGTGCACGTGTATGTGGATTTCATGGGTGCATCTGTAGATATAGTTGTATATCTAGTCTAGCGTAGATTGATTCAGAGATTGTACAAAGGATCGACTTCAGACTGGGAATACTTCCTATGTTCCATTGCATCCTGTCCATCTACTCACCCTCTCACTTTACAGACTCGCTTTAGCTTCGCATAATGTTCATGTGTGCAGCTCTCGATCATAAACACTGACCACAGTGCTACTAATGTGTTAATTTTGCCACAAAGAATTTGGAGATAATATACGGCCCTCTCCATACCTGGCTTTATGTGGTTAGGTTTCCTGACATTTCTGATACTTCAGCTAACATTTCATTATTTAAGGTCATGTTTTCTGTGGTGAATGCTATGAGATACTCTTCAAGGGTGATCAAGGACAGTGTCCATTCAGGTGTTTGAGACCGCTGAAGTTCTCGTTTGTCAAAATTGGCTATGTGTTAGATCAAAGCAAAGTGGAGGTGAGGTGTGCTTGATAACCATATAACATCAGCGCCAGCACTAATAACTATTTGATTTGTAGAGCCAACTCTATCTGTGCCACTGAAGAGGTGCAAGCTGCCCTCAAGGTCAAGAAAGTCCAGAGCTGTATGGTAGGATTGGAAAAAGCAGTTGCACGTCAACGTGAACGCATAGCCAATCACCTGAAGCACATTTTATCCACCCAAATTTCTGCCAGAAGGATTTAGGCAGCGCTTAGGGCAAAAGGAGGCTTTATCAAGTACTGATAATATCCAAATTGTTACAATACATAATTTTTGGACCTTTAAATTTCATTCTCCTCTTTAACTTTCTTCTGTAGTTTTCACACACTGTGCCATGCAGCACTTTCTATTTTGTTCAAACTCCACCTTCTTGCGCTGCACTGCCTTTTTTTATTTTTAGCTACAAGTATCTCATGCAGTGGAGCTGGTCACATGGGTTGTGCCCCATGACATCATCAGCCACTGCCTTCATCAACTGTATAGTACATATGTACAAACAACCTGTAGTAGTATATATACCCCAATAGATCAAGGAGACTCCTCAGCAAGTCCTCCTGTTGTTTACCCACAACTAACTCAGTCCTATCTTAAGGGGTAACCACTCCCACTCACTTCACTACTGCTTGTCTAAGTTGTGCGCCAGAGTATACAAACTCTTGGTTGTTACACAAATACCCCTTTCAATTCAAAAGTGAAAAAGCCCTTTCCATGGTGTTGCTGTTTAAAATTGACTATATCTCCATAGCATGTGAACCAAATCACATGACCTATTGAGCAATTTTATAGCCAAGAGTATGTACTATTTATATTTCCACCAAAGTTGAGTGTAATACTGTTTGATGGTATGCTTCATGTATGACACCCAGAGTCAACATGGAAAGGGTTTTTGGAGTCACTGTAGTATAGATGTTTATGTGAATAATGGGATCATAAATACCTCCTAGCTTCTCAGCAGCATCACAGTTCCAGCTGCAGCTCAGCCTGGGATTATGGTTAGTCCACCATATTTTTAGCCACAGCACATAACCCCGAGAAGGGCTTTATGGCAACATGTAGGAATAATTAAAACCAGCGCCGTTTGTTGTGTTGGTAGTTACAGTTACAAAGTGGTATTATACTATGTCTGACTAGCCTCCTAGTTGTGTGGCATAGATAGCCAATAGACTTATGTGACGCAAAAAAAATGGCAGCCACTAACCACCCTTGATGTGCATATTGATAACAATAATGAACCTGACAAACTGCCACTTAAGAACAATAGAGTATATCAACTTATATTAGCTAGACTTGCAGTATGACCTTACAGTGATTTTCTTGTAAAAATATACCATTTATATCTAAGGAAAATATGAAGCAAATTTTTATATATAATCCCTAATATCATCATGATGTTGAAGTTGCCTCAGTCAGTGGATCAACACTTTGTGCTGCATAAAAAGGTGAGTGAAGCACCCCACAGTTTAACCTCCAGCTAATATTTATGTTTTTGAAATTTGTGGTGGTCATTTTAGAACATTTGCGCTATGGTGAGCACCACACTCATCTTGATCATAAGACATGGAGCTGCACTAAAATGCTTGGGAGAGTACTTCATATTTTTCTGTTGAATTTACTAACACAATCTATTTAAGCACATGAGTATGATTATGGTAGTGCTCACTTTTTTTTGTGATTGTTTGTTTGCACTTTGTTTGCTCACACTCAATAAGATCACAGCATATAGGGCCTCATACCCTTGCCCTGAACTACAACACAGCGTTGCTGGAAATTGTTCACTATGTCTCAGGATGTAAATGCCTTTATTTTCAAAGGTTTTTCTGGCTTACCATTTGTCATTTGTGTTAGTTTTGGTGATTCTGCACCTTTGCGCTATCCATATATTTCTATTCCTTTCCTTAATTATTCCTCTATCATTCAGTAGTGATTGTGTTCTCTATTATTTTGCCTCTGTGGCTCCTTTGTTTACCTTTGTTTACAAAACTATGGCCAGTACTGCAGATTCCAATGCTTCCTATTCTCTAGTTACTCACATTGGACTCTAGGTACTGTATACCTGTCACACTCTCTAATAATAAAGTCACTCACATTGGACTCTAGTTTCCAGTCCCTGATTGCTCTCAGCAAGTGGCTAGACACTTCCTTCAAGCTTTGTTCTTAATAATTTGCAGTATGGATTGCTCACCATAGTGCAAATATTTCAAAATGACCACCACAAACACATAGATATTAGCTGGAGGTTAAATTGTGGGGTGCTTCACTTATCTTTTTATGTGACACAAAGTGTTGATCCACTGACCAAGGCAGCTTCGACATCATAATGATGGTGTAATGGCAACAAATGTTTAGATAAGATTCAGAATGACTCGGTCAGCAGGATCCAATCAAATTTCAGAAAAATTGTCACACATAATGCATTCATCATTGGACTGCAGCTTTTGATTGAGTGGATTCTTGGAGAATTTTATAAATATCATCTACAAATCATTTTCTTTATGTTGCCTGCCTTGAGCATAATCATTTTGAAAATATTTTCTATATAATATATGAGACAGTAGTATGATAGTTTTACTATCTCATATAATGAAACAACGGTTGGGCAAAAGATAATCCTGACAATCTCCAAGGAAAACACTGATAGAAAAAGAAATTATAAGGTAGAACAATGATTATTGTGTGCATGTCACTCATGATAATCAGAGTCAGGGTCCTTCTAAACCCAATTCCGACCAAGAGCATTTGTTGTCTCACACTCCAACAGGGCTAAGCTCAGAAACCAACAACAATGGTGCAAGGTTTATGAGTATAATGGGAAAAGTGATGTGTTAGGCTTTTCCTGGCCTTACTTCTCTTGCCAGGAGAAGCATATTCACATAATAAGGGTGGTTCTTTACTTTGCTAGCAGAAACAGAAAGTGGCTCAAATCCAGCAATAAAATAACAATAAAGCACTACATAAACAATATATGGTTAGTCAGTAAATACATGGGTTCAGATGAAGTTTACAAAGTTTGCACTCCAGTAGAGATTGGTTAGGTGGTTTTTTATGTCCAAATGTGATATTGGACAGGACAAAGAATTTGCAATGCATTCACCTGCCACATGAGGAAAACCAGGCTCTTCCCAACCCACACTGTTTTAAGAGAGAAAATAATTGCTAGGGCAAAAATGATAGGACAGTATTGATAAGGTATGATGAGATGATAAAAAATCCACTCTTGGTACAACCTTGATCCTCTCCCTCTCTCCACAGCGGCTTGCACTTAATATTGGTCAATAATGGCCAGCCATAGTGATGAGTGCTGGTGACAGCAGACTCTAAAAAAGGAGATGTAAATTTTATTCAATAGTTATTACTTCTAACCCACTGCTTCTATTTCCAACTTGGGGCATACACATAATCATTTCAGCAGTGCTTATCACTTAATACAATATTCCATCAATACCTGATTACAGAATAGAGTCTGAGCATTTTACCCTGCCAGTGGCAAGTCAAAGTTGGCCAAACTGTAGCCAGTGGGCAACATAATGCTATTGAAAAGTGGGCACTGAATCAAGCAAGACCCTCACATTTATTATCCCAATCCTTCTTTGTCTCAATGATATGCAAATCATAAATTCCCCTCTTAATCTCCTTGGTGAACAGAACAAAAAACTGTTGGAAAAAGCTGGACTAATGATAATTGCTCAGTAAGTTGAATTTTCAATGGCCTGCATAAACAAATCAGCCATTGCAAAATTTACCGGAGTGTTGGCTTAGTCTGAAAATTTTGGCCATAACAGTCCCAGAGTTGATAGCAATAGCACAAATACCAGAATGGGGTGAGTTTCAACCAGAACATTGAAAGCTGGCTTGACTATGTCACATATTATACCATCTGCCATTTTTAATTACATCCAACATGGTAAAAAATATCTCTCCTCTACATATGTGTACCAACAATTTAATGACTGTGCATCTTTCAACTAACCGGCCTAATATAAGCATTGATGTTTGAAAGATGCAATGTCTTCTCAGCACTTACACTGATCTTGGTTTTGTAATTCCCAAAGGATAGACAGTTTGTGATCCACCTCCGGTTAAATCTTTTATTTTCTTTGGTAATGTGCAGGATACTATTCAAGCAGCATTTTTTTTTCAAGAGCAGTTACCAGCTGGGCTACAAAATAAAATTAAGTGGTTTGATTCAGATATGTTAAATAATTTCAAGAAAAAAAAATACTCAAATTTGATATCTGGCAAAATTTGGGGCTTGTGCATTACTGATTTCTTTAATGTGGTTAGTATTTCTTTGAATAAAGAGAAAAAAAAATAATCAACTGACTTATCATTCAAGGGAATAGACATAGCAGATATGAATCTAGATCTGATTATTCAGTGGCTGGTGCTTTGTAAGCCAAAACTGCAGTTAACACTACCAACTGTTGCACAGTGAATTGGATGTGCAGCGTAAAATTGAGATCTCCAAGGTGTAGCCTTGATATTTGCTGAGAAAGAATTTTGCAATGATGAATACCTGAATAAAGAAGAAAAAAAAAGAAAAAAAAAGGGATTAAAAGGAAGAACAAAGAGCCACCACTCACACCAGCAAAAAAGGTTTACTATAACTCCCTGGCCTACAATTAAACCCAAACATCTATTCCTAGATTCAGATCTAGGTGATATTGAAGAAACCACAGGTAATAAAAGTTGGTCACACAAAGAATTACAAGTAGAAATGGAGGTAGGGGAAAAAATGCAAAAACTCAATATTCAAGCAAAAACAAACAGTACTTGATGCATCCATGGTCCTGCTCATTAATGCTGGTACTCAGAAAGGATGGCAAGGTTGGTATAATTTTTTTGATGTGTACTTCAACATTGACACTAGTGGTGAGAAATTTAACATGCCTATTATGTTGCTTTGATTCTCACCTCTTATTTACTATTTCAAAGACCAACCATCACAAGTATAACCCATTCAAAGTGAAAGGCGGCTCCCACTACTTTATACCACCCCCAGTCATTTGCTATGACTTGCACTGCCCCAAATTCTTTGATCAGTTTGTGTTCCTTCCTTACAAAGCTACGAAACAATATCAATGCTCATGACTTGCAAAGTATTCTATGGATGATTGTAACTTATTGTTAGATGAATCACTTGAAGATTGGAGGGAGACTAAGAGGAAGAACATTTATGAGGGAGCTTAGCTGGTGAACATTTGTAATTCCTGATGAAATAATTAATAAAACTAAGTAAAACTATAATAGATGTTAGTTTAAGGTGATCTCTAATAAATGTAATGTAACATACCTCAGCCGCTGCCCGAGAGGCTATAGAAACGACTGAGGTATTCCTATACTAAACCCCCTACTACTTATAGTTGGAGGTGCTACTCGCTATAGTATAATGACTCCTAGGAGTACAATTGTGCTCCTAGGAGAACAATGGTGACTCCATGGAGTGGTGGCTAAACTCCATGGAGAACAATGGCTGCTTTGGCAGAGACCAGGTTTATCCGGTTTTGTCAATAATGGGACAGGTTGTTGACTGCGCACACTACTAAAAAATTCAGACTCTGGACAGTTTGAAGAAGACAAGATGGTCTGGGGTTCAAAAGTATGGCAAAAAGGTGCGTGAGTTAATCACTCAACTATCCCCAACTCCTGCCGCAAATAGTACACCACTGCTTGTCTCAACTCCACTACATGCTTGTGTTCAAATTATGGCTGCTGCTTCAGCTCTACCTCTCAGCCACAGCCTTAATCTCTAATCATACCAAAGAAACCAAAAGCCAACAACATATGAAGTGCCTGTAGTCTTGAAGGATACAATAGTAAGCTATATTTGTTTCTAATTATATTGTAGTGTGTAACCGTGTTTGTGAGCAATATCCTTCTTGCACGGCTAGAGTGGGAAAGGAGAATGTCCACCCTGTCCCGAAGGTAGTGACAAATTATGACATTTGTTTATAGTATGAGAAAACATGCATTGGCCAGGGCTTGAACCTGGGACTCCAGCTTTCATGGTCTGGTGCTTTACCAACTAAGCTACCAAGGCGTACTTCAAAAGCATACTGATTGGTTGCATGCCCAGAAGGTCTAGAATCACTGTACACGGGTGCGGATCCCATTGTGTTGTGATAGGTAGTGTTGCCACAGTCTCAGCTAAAATTGGCTTTGTAATCAAGCTGAACTGTTATATGTATCATATGACTGGATTGAGCCTGTGACTGCTATGAATCACATGGCTATTGATGGTTATCACATGATATTAGCTGGCTTGCAAGCCTAGACGGAAAGTGCACATTGTTGAGAGATTCCAGACCATGAGGGAGGATGGTGCAAACAGAAGCAACTGCTGGCTTCCTCGCATTCACCCCAAAATAAAGGGACTTGAGGAAGAGCAAGCTGCGCTATGATCGGCAAAGGGTGGTTAGAAACAAGGCTGGTAATAATAATGAACACCTCACTTACACTTTGGCAGTTGGATAAGGAAACGAGCAATGCATATTCAATTTCAACTTGAAGTTGTAGTGCGGGTCTGATTTAGCAGTTGTTTGAGATGGGGGTGCAGGGAAAAGAGAAGAGCAGTAGCCAGTGCTTAAGTACTTGCCTTGACCCAAAGCTGGTTTCTTTGTACATTTTTTCATGGTAGGTAGATACTCTGCAGTGTAATCCTGTAAGTTACATAAGCTGAATCTGACTGGAGCTTCTAAGCTGCTCGCTAGGAGCTGTGGCTAATACTGAATGTTCCAGGATCAGCTAAACTTCTCAAGAAATTTGCTATCAGAGAAACTACATTGTAACATACACGCGTCTTATAACATTGGTAGGGGTCCAGATGATTCGTCATTTACCAATTCACGATGATACCAACCAAGCAACTTGCAGTTGAGTGTGTTGTACTTGGGCGGCGCTGCGGCTGAAATTTTCATGTTCAAGGGTGGATCAGGCTTGAGTCAGACAGTCTCTTGTGCAGTCCTGCCTGTGGTGAATGATGCACATGCACAAGAACGAGGAGAAGGAAGCCACAATGAAAGCAGCAGGGACTGAGTTAACCTGGCAATGTCTGGAAGGGGGAATGTAATGGACGTGACTCGTCACACCAAGGACTCAGCCACTCAGCTATTCGCAAACTAGGCATACTCTCGTTTATATCTCACTTCATTGTCACCAGTTTGTACACTCCTTAGCTCGTATCGGACTTGACTCTTACTCTACCAGCTTAGCTCCAAATCAGTATATAAAGCTTTCCTGTTCATAGTTAGATGGTAATGTTCCCAGAATTAATAGTAGACTTACATCGCTTTCAAAGGCTCCAGGAATTCGATCGCCTCGCCGCCTAGTTACCGAATCCCTTCTCTCTTGATGGTCCTTCTCTACCCAATCCTCCAGTGACGTTTTCAACAACCCTTTCCATTCGTGTCTAGCAACAATACTCCCCCCTACACGATCACCTTCCCATCCAGCACTCATCATAACGGGTTCCTGTCAGGAAACATCATTGCGCGTTCAAAGGAGCGTCAGCATGGTAAAACTAACCTGTGAGTGCCAGCTAACATCACGGACGCAGACCGTGCTCCGTGATCCCTTTAATGGTTCCATCTCAGGTGCAGAAGGATCATACGTCATCGGTAGCGTCTGTGATCTGTCCAGAACTTGGACAACACGGCCGTCAAGAGACCATATCTAAACGAGACCTTGGTTCAACGCGACCAAGTTTGGGTAATGGAGGAGAAGAACACACGTGTATTTTTCCATCAGCGGACCCAGAATACAGGTATTGGCTCCCTGTTGTCTCAGCTGGACTGAAGTGACAACGTATGAGTGTTCGAAGAACAGCGTGACCTCTATATGTCATGACACTGCAATCCTTGGGGTGAGCAGATACTTTAGGTTTTGGATAATGCCCGTATCTAAAACAGAAGTAAGTCACAGACATTTTGCGAAGCCTGCGTAACATGCCTATAATCATATCCTCGTGCTCTGTAGACTTTATTAGCACCATTGTCAAGGTCCTCGCTAGTACACATTTTCCGTAGATCCCAAAGGCGAAGTGCTTGGTCTTTGCCGTTCGAGATAACATACCGCCCATCACCTTTAGCTGAGACATTGGTAATACCCTCTGTATGACCAACTAGTACACCTGAAGGTTTTCGCGATGCACCCAGAGAACGCCGGTCCCTTGAAACACGTGAATTGACTAGCATAAAGATAAATATACTTAACTCACCAAACTTTAAGGAGAGCATCATCAGAGGCACTGATAAGTACATTTCCGGAAGTTGCATCAGCCCAGCAGCAGCTGTTCACATCATCATCATGTGCCCTAATTCTGACGGTCCTTCGGTCAGCCAAAAGATCATAAACTGAGGCAAGCACACCATCAGTAAAAAAAGAGCAAGTACGAGTAGTATGACGTACCGAAGATTTGACCACTGCCTCCAGCTACCACTTCCCTTCCATCCGCAGAAAATCTGCAGCTCCATATCCCAAATGAATCATCATCAAAACCCCAAGCGAGTCGAGCCGAACGTCGAGGTGGGTCGGAAAAACGAATCGGTATTTGTTCAGGCGAAGTGTCAAGAGTGCTGGTCATATAAACCGTTGGCGACTGCTTACTGTGAGATAACTAGTATAACGAAAAAAATCAAATCCTCCTACGATTGACGAGTAAATAATCCTGAAATGGTCCCTGATAAACACCGTACGATTGACTAGCATGAGCGCCACTTTACCTTTCATTATCGGGACTTAAATGAGAGTCCGTTATCGTCCAGCGACCAGAGCCGCCTTGTATAGTTTTTAATACCTTTAAAGTCGTCTCATGGTCGTAAGCAATATGATCCATATAGCCCCCTCGGCGAGAGGGAGCATAGATAGGCCTGACATAAGAAGTCGGAGGTCCAGTCATATCGTAGATATGAAGACGGAAATCTTTTAAAATGGATAAGGCGCACGAGCTGCCAAGCGTGACGCGCTACCTACCTTGACAGCAGGTGTAATAGAAAGTAGAGTCTACATCATATTCGAGTTAACTCATCTCTGATAAAACGATGAGATAACTCCACTACCTTTCGAAAACTGCCCACAATAGATGTTAGCCCCGTATGAGGCCACGGCAGTTCCGTTAGAATTGGGGATAAGATCCTGAATGAGTGTAAATAATGAAGTACATAGAAGGACAAAGAAACTAACACTGGTGAACTCTTCTCTAAGTGTGGTCTTCCGAGGTTGTACCACACGATTCAGTAATAGCCTAGTCAGATTTCTTTCGGATTTAACGTTACTTGTCTTTGCACTAATGCGGCCAAACTCTCCGCTCAGTAGTAGCTCAACTCCCGGTTTTTGAGGTTTTGTTACTTTCGGAAACCATTGAGTATTCCAGCTAGCACCACGTCCATAGTACTCTTCTCCGTCTCCGTCTCCTTCGTCTTCCTCCTGCATCACGGAGGAGCGCCCGTAATTGGACGATGGACCACCGAGAAGACGAACTAAGTCTTCTAAAGTGAGTCCGCTTAGGTGGACTGTCCGCTGGCTGCTGGGAGAGGCTGGAGTGAGATTCCGCTCACCGTTATCAGCATTGTCTTGAACGTCAAACAGAGCTGAATAGGATATCAACAGACGGGATGTTTACTATGGAGCATCAATACTTACAACGTAAAATATGTGCTATCGACGACCCCCCTTCGTCGGGGCTCTGTGATTCCAGTCGTTCTTCGAGCTCATCGACTACATTTCTGCCATCGTCGCCAGTATCATCGATGTCAACGTCCGGGGCACCATAAGCGTTTTCGTCACCGGCCATATTAGCGTCGAAATCGTTTTGCATGATACTTGGATATTAGAAACAGGGAAGAGTGTCGTCTGGTGAGAACCGATATCTTTGCGAAATTACACCGCTAAATTTGACTCACGCTTCAGTCACGATTGAAATACCTTGTATATATATTAGTAATAAGCCCCAATTAGCGCTTGGTGAGGGGTTTACCTCAGGCCACTGTTTTGAGGTTCAGAATTTATCCTAGGGACATGTAGATTAGATAAATGATAAGATAATTTTTTGAAAGTCAGCTGAACTTTGATTCTAAACCTCTCCACAGCGGCTGGACTTGAACATTTGTAAAGCGAGTCAGCCACAGTGACTGGTGACCGTCAAGTGACGGCTGACTTCGGGAATAACCCACTCCAAAATAAATCCTGTCGACTGTCTCGAATTATCCGTTTTAGGCAATAAGGTAACTTCAAGATTGGTATTAATTCATGTCCGAGTCAATCACTCATCAATTGATCACACTAATAAATCTAAGTGAAACTCAGCCGCTGCCCGAGAGGCTATAGAAACGACTTATTATTTACCTAAGTGAAACAGATGTTAGTTTAAGGTGATCTCTAATAAATGTAATATAACATACCTCAGCCACTGCCCAAGAAGCTATAGAAACGACTGAGGTATTCCTATACTAAACCCCCTACTACTTATAGTTGGAGGTGCTACTCACTACAGTATAATGACTCCTAGGAGAACAATGGTGACTCTATGGAGTGGTGGCTATGCTCCATGGAGAACAATGGCTACTTTAGCAGAGACCGGGTTTATCCGGTTTTGTCACCCACAGGCAATCACTGTGAACTCTGCAAGACTATCATTTCTCAAACAATGGATACCGACCCAGTTCCAAACGGCTCCTTGGTGTGGGCCAGCAAAATAATGCAAGAACAGTATGCATCCGAGATACAAATTGACAAGTGAAAGCAGTGGCCGACACTTCAACGCCATAAAAGCGACTGCTGAACAAATCGAGATGTTCTGTATTGCAGAGATGGCTATGCAGTACCAGGCCCTTGCACTGTATCTATGGGAACTTCTAAGGTACCTTCTAAACACCACTACAAAGATCTCAAAGGTAGACAGGGACAGGGATAGTGATTATAGGATGAGTGATGTGGAGCTGAAGACACATATTGGGATCACATTGACAAGTTAGACTTGGAGGGAATCATCGAGGACCTGGCAAGTAGTATTAAGAACAAAGCTTGAAGGAAGTGTCTAGCCACTTGCTGAGAGCAATCAGGGACTGAAACTAGAGTCCAATGTGAGTAACTTTATTATTAGAGAGTATGACAGGTATACAGTACCTAGAGTCCAATGTGAGTAACTAGAGAATAGGAAGCATTGGACTCTGCAGTACTGTCCGAAGTTTTGTAAACAAAGGTAAACAAAGCAGCCACAAAGGCGAAATAATAGAGAACACAATCAATAGTGAATGATAGAAGAATAGATAGAGAAAGGAATGAAAATATATAGTTAGCACAAAGGTGCAGAATCACCAAAACTAACAAGTAGCACCAATGAGCGTGAACACAATCGGAAAGCTGTGATTGCAGTTGTATGTCTCCTCGCTACAAATTTGAACTTTGTACTGCTAATTATGGGCTTGTAATAATATAGAAAAAAATTGTCATTTTGAGTGTCATGATGCAGAGTACAAACTTAAAGTCCAATGCACTGCAGAGCGTGATAGGTATTTTCTTGCAATCATCATATTCCCCCGAGAAGGTTATCGATGCAATGGCCCGCATGGGCGTCTCAATCTCACAGAGTGCAATCCACAGTGCCATTCGGCTGTTATCAGCTGAGTCTCACCGTAACATCCGTGCGCTAGGGCAAACAATGCTAGCCTCATATGTGTATGATAATTTTGATGTGGACTTGAAGTCCCACCAACCTGTGGCCAAAAAATCATCAGATACGTTGAAGCATCTCACTTCGGGTCTGCTATTTCCCTTGCAGCATGGTGTTACTCTCAGAGACCTCAAGTGCTCTCAGGAACTCTGGGAAAAATCCACATTCAATCGAAATATCATTCTGTCTGATGGTCTCACTAGGGAAACATTAGAACAGCTACTCAGCATACATCCTGATATTCCCAACGCCTCAGGACTTAGCCATCAACAGCAATTCAATTTGTGGAAGTTCATGCATGATCTCTGTCATCAAGGACTTGCTTACTTTGCGAGCTTCAAGTCTCAGATTGAACCTCCAGTACCAATTGTTACAATAACACAATTTTTGGACCTTTAACTCACATTCTCCTCTTCAACTTTCTTTTGTAGTTTTCACACCCTGTGCCATGCAGCACTTTCCATTATTATTCAAACTCCACTTCTTGTGCTGCACTGCCTTTTCTATTTTTAGATACAAGTTTCTCACACAGTGGAGCTGGTCACACGGGCTGTGCCCCATAACATCATCAGCCACCGCCTCCATCAACTGTACAGTACACATATACAAACAAACTGTAGTAGTATATATACCCCAATAGATCAAGGAGACTCCTCAGCAAGTCCTCCTGTTGTTTACCCACAACTAACTCAGTCCTATCTAAAGGGTAACCACTCCCCTCACCTGTTACGATAACACAATTTTTGGACTTTCCCTTTACTTTTATTCTCCGCTTTAACCTTGTACTATAGCTTTCACACAGGGTGCCGCGCGGCACTTCCCCTTCCCGCGCCGCGTTGCCTTTCTTCTTATTTTGGACATAACTCTCTCACACAGTGGAGCTGGTCATATGGGCTAGGCCCGATGACATCATCAGCCACTATATCTATCAACTGTATAGTACACATGTACAAACAACCCTGTAGTAGTATATAAACCCCAATAGATCCAGGAGACTCCTTAGCGAGTCCTCCTGTTGTATACCAACTAACTCACTGCATATTAAGGGGTAACCACTCCCTCATCATCTTTCTCTATAGTGTGTTCCTGTGTGCGCCAGAGTATATCTTGGTCATTACATCACCTCTTTATAGCTTTGTCTGAGCTGTACGCCAGAGTATACAAAATCTTGGTTGTTACACCAATTGAGCCAATTCCTGTCATCAAAACATCTATTATAGCTACCAGGGCCATGGACATTAATAATTTGACAGTGTCAGGAAGCATACAAGTTGTTGTAGAGTTGCTGGCACAGGGTGGAATAACAGAGCCATCTGCAGATGGGGGTAGTCAGTCGGACAACACATCAGCCTGGGATAATAATGAAGGACCTGACATATCTCAACATGTTGTACTATTTCATGGAGATTTAGGCACCGGGGAACATCTACAGACAGTACAGCAATGTTGGGCTATTGAAGCAACACCATGGGATCAATTCCAGCATGTAGTGTTTGTCCCTGGGCTATTCCATCTCAAGATAGCTTCTGCCAAAGCACTTTGGCGTGTGTTTATCAATCTGACAGCTGCTAGAGAAGATGAGACCAGCATCATGTGAGATATAGCTAAACTTTGTCCAAGGGAAATGGGCATTTTTGGCTCAAAGCCTAGTTTCCGACAGATGCACCAGCTTATTGGCCATGCGGGGGCTTGTCATAGACTGGACTGCTGGAGAATTGAGGCTAAAAATAGAAACTCTTCACATCATGGACTGGAGCACTTTGCAGCATTAAAACCAACATTTGAAGACTTGAAATTGATTGCTGACCGGTTAGCTCTGGATTATGTTGCAGATCATACTATCTCTTAGAAGCGAAGGAAAAGGCAGGATGCTCGAGATGAACAACACAAAAATGCTTTGTTGTTTAACAAATATGCATTATTATAGGAGGAGCTCTCCTACACTATAAATGCAGGTGATATTGCTGGTGTAGAAGCATGCATTGTGCCTTGGATATTTATTTTCAAGGCTACTGGGAAACACAAGTATGCCACTCACATGTTGAACTGCTTAGTCAATGTTCATTTTAAATACCCAGTTGGTCTTCGGTGTGTCTTTTCTCTGACACTAAGTTGGTTCCCTTGCTGACATTTTGTAGAAAAGCCATTCAATACCACATACTAGTCAATCCAACAGGCAAACCGGGGAACTTTTGTGGGGTTGACTGGTGCGTTGAATTGTATAATCTATTCATCAAGATGAGTGTTGTCTTGCTAGCTGTAGACTTGAAATAATTCTATCTAGTTTGAAAATGGTGGTGTGGGATCTAACAGAACAGTTGAGCGAATAATTTTAGAGTCACCACTGGTTCAAGTCTATCGCACCACTCACCTTACTGTAGAAAAGAATTTGCTTCAGAGTCATCTTACCAGTAAACATGCAGACGCAGATATGAGGAAAATATTTGTAATCCTGTTGAAGGATATGGAAATCAACTCGGCACATGATATAAAGCTTGGACGCAAAATACAACATGTTATTTAACCTACTAGACAAAGGCATAGCAGCATATACTAGTAAAGTGGGACAGACTATAGCAGATAGCGAAGAGGCAGGAGATGGAATAGAGGAACCAGAATATGAGGACCTCTTGTTAGAGGACCTCTAGCATTGATCCTATCATGGAGGCCGCTGTAAAAATATGAATTATCAGGATAGAAATATGTACAGTTTGACTCACATTCTTCTTATTATTGTGCAAAGAACGTGCCTTTTTTGCCTTGCATACTAAGTTTCAAGCTACAGTCTGAGTCAGCGAGATGTCAAAGTACAGTAAAAACAATGGGACACTTACAGTTGTGGCCTTCGAGGCCATATGTGCCGCACCAAATTTTCCTGGTTGCCAAAGTAGATAGAGGCATTGATAGAGCAGCTGTGAGAGGCCGCATTGGTGCTGTAACAAAAGGTGATGCTTTTACGGGAACTTGAGTGACAGCTTGGCTTTGAGTTGGCCAAGGTACGTGATTCTGCACTATTAGAACTACCTCCTCACCAAACTGACTTGCTCCAGCCCACTTTGTCTCAATCTAGCTCCTTCATGCTCCAGATTTTGTGACACACTATGGATAACTCGGTCTGTAATACTATCTGTCATGATAATAGAGGGACCAATGTTGACCAGGTGAGCGTGTCCATAAGTTTCTGTTGTTTTTGCTATTCTCCATATCTTGAGGGCATCAATAAGAGCAAAGTCTTGGTCGTTCATTGTATACTTAGGGAGGCAAGAGCGGTGGAGCTGTTTAGTAGCTTTAGCAACAGTTGTGTCAGTAAGTGTTGAGAAATAAGCAGGTGCATGAATATCACAGCAAACTATGGGGCATCAGACACAGCAACATTTACAACCTTCAGGTGACAATTGGTTTTTGAGAAGGAATGGTGAGAATGTTCAAACAGCCATAATAGGAAGCAGTAAGTTCTCACCTGCTACCATGTTGTCAAAGTAGAAGTTAAAAACCTGCCTTTGACAATGCTTTCCAGGCTGTGTATCAGCGTTAATCAAAAAGTCAAGGCATGGATTGATTTTGCTTCGGTGATTATTTTTCTTTTTGGTTTGTTTTTGTGCATTTATGGGTGCTTCCAAAATGGTGTCCTTTAGCTGCAGCCCACTCTCATCCTCTACCTCTTTTCCCAACATTATTTCATTGTCACTTTCATTCTCCAAATGGTCATCAAATAGTTCTGCCCCGTCTGTTTCAGAAGACTCGCCTTGTGGCCTTGTGGGAATAGAAACAGGTTCAGAATTTGGGCCAAGTCCTGAAAATGCCATTTGCTTTGCTGGCATCTGTGGTAATTTTTTCTGCTATCTCTTTTTTTCTCTGGCTTCTTTCTGCTCTTTTTTTTTCAGATGCTCATCATCAAACAACTCCTTTTCAGCAAATAAAATATAGACTTTTATCTCGTGCTGACTGGCCAAAACGCTGCCAAGCAGTATGTACCGTAAGCTTTTTTTCCCCATTGCCTTGGACCCGCCACTGAACCACCAACATTATGTCTGGTACGTCCATTTCCTAATATATAAATATTTTAGTCTGGTTTATTATGACTGAGTTAACAAGCAGACTATTCCAAAAGAGTCTGTTATGCAGAGCTCCCAAGTGCCCCTGCTACACATATGTTCATATTCTTTTTTTTGGAAGGTTGCTGACATGTCTGAATTGAACCACTTCATTTTGTCACGCAGGCCTACTGGTAAACAACTTCAAAGAAACTTGGCAGCCCCAATGGCCTCTTGGATGTCATCAAAAAATACCAAAAACATCAGTGGGGGAGAGTCCCCAACCTTCCAGCCATCCGGCACTATGTGTAACAACCAAAAGTTAGTTACTCTGGCGCACAACTCAGACAAGCAAAAGAGGGAGTGGGTACCCCTTAAGATAGGACCGAGTTAGTTGGGGGTAAACAACAGGAGGACTCGCTGAGGAGTCTCCTGGATCTATTGAGGTTTATAGACTACTACAGCGTGTTTGTACTTATGTACTGTACAGTTGATAAAAGCAGTGGCTGATGCTGTCAGAGGGCACAGCCCGTGTGACCAGCTCCACTGCGTGAGAGACTTGTAGCTAAAATAAGAAAAAGGGCAGTGCAGCACGAGAAGGTGGAGTTTGAACAAAAAAAAAAGTGCCTCATGGCATAGTGTGTGAAAACTACAGAACAAAGTTAAAGAGGAGAATGAAATTTAAAGGTCCAAAAATTGTGTATCATAACACTATAAAAGCCAAGTCTGCATACATGTTCAGTGGATATTTTATTTTTCAAACTCCTATGCTGATGTTGGGACGGTCCGTAGAACAATAGGTAGTGAACAGCCGGTCTGAGTGTATATGTAGTAGTTTCTTGACAGATGTAAGAGTTTCTTGTGGTAATGTAGTAGAAGTGACAACAATGGGTACATTGGGGATAATGTGCCGCAACTGGCCAAGCTCTCTGTATTCTGGACAAAAGTCACACCATTCTGTAATACTGTGGGCTTTGTCTAGTACCACAGAAATTATTCAGTCAACAAATACTGGATTCTTGAATATTGTCTCAAAAAGTCCTCCTGGCTTCATAATGAGCTCTGGACTGATTATGATTGCTCGGTAGGTGATATTTTCTATGGCCTGTTGAAGATTTTAGAAGCCAAAATACCTGGTTTATCATAATATCCTGTTTTACCTTGAAATTATTTATTGTCGCTGTTTCGGCATTAATAGCAATGGCTCGGATGCCTGCTTTAGCCAGTGTTGTAGCATTCTGTTTACCTAGTAGATTTAGTGGTGTAACAATAATTTGTATATCTCTTGGCCGAAGCAGTAGGGGTATCAGAAAACCCAATATTTTACTTTGACCTGTATCTGCTATACAAACAATATCCTGGTCTCCTTTTGCTATTGCCTGCCCAACTTTGGCTTGAAATAGACATGAATAAAGGCCTATACACTCCTTTGTTAGATTACAAATTTCTGGCAGTGTTGAAATGATGCAATGTCTTGATGGAGAAGCCCCAGTGGACAACATGTGGGCAGATACTGTTGGATTGGGCAACTTGAATCAAATTTCCAATTTAAATCTTTTTTATTTTTTATTACTTTTTCAAAGTCAGCCATCACTTGACGGTCACTAGTCACTGTGGCTGACTCAAATGTTAAAGTCCAGCCGCTGCGGAGAGTTTCAGAATCAAAGTTCCACTTCAGGCGACCACTTTGGGGGGGCTCCTAGCTTGATTATCTTCACCAAAAAGATGGGGCTAAGAGCCCTCAATACCTTGGTCCTTAGAGGTGTTTAGGGTATTGGTCCATTGTCTATGTCCATATAGCGGGGACTAAAGCTAATTTGGGATAATACCTTGGTCCTTAAAACTAATTGGTGGATTGACCCATGGTTCAGGTTCATAATGTAGGTCTGAAATTAGATAAGTTTAGTATCTTGGTACTTAAAGGTAAATAAGGGATTGATCCTCAACCATATGTAATTATGAGATAATACCCCCCATTTATTGGAAAATGAAGAGGAAACAGCCATAGCATTGGTCCTTGGATCAAATAAAAATACAAGCAACTATAGCTGTGATGGAAAAATCTCTTGAAACTTGGGATTTGGCCATAAATCAATTCCAATATAAGTGGCTAAAGCTGAAATAGAATGGTTTTATTTTTATCCTTGAAAATGCTTATAAAAGTGGTTTACTAATAAGGGAGAGGATTTCTATACATAAAAAAGCTTTTAGACTACAGTAGTGGGTTAGTCTATCATACTAAATATGTCTTTCAATAAATAGCCTTCTGAAAAAGTCAACTTCATCATAAGGTATGAAGCAGAACCAAACTTGTTGAACTAGAATAATAAAATTTCCCATGGTTTAAAGCTTGATTCACCAAGATAATAGCTGGCTCATATAGTATAATATTCTTCTTAATCTATATGTAAGTTGAAGTTAGGCTATGGTTACACTATGAATCTGGGGGTTGATATTATAATTTAACTGTTCAGGGAATCATTTCTATCAAGTCATGACCCAAAAATTTATTTAACATAACCCCTGTTATTTTGTAGGTTTCTGTTAATATTATGTGGAGTATTCAACACAGAATGATTTGAGGCTTATTGCAGACATGGCACTGCACTTCAGTCACCCTCCAAACATAGGGTATTAGCCTTAACTATCTGTGTAAACCTATGAGGCTAAGAGCCTAGTTTTTCTGGGGATTGTCCCAAGTGCTCCAGTGAGTCTGGGATTGTCCCAAACATGGTCCAATCCCATGAGGAAACTATTTCTATAATGGGATTGTCCCAGACATAGAATAATCCCACTGATGTAACATATGTTACATGGTATCAGGGCAGCTAGTCTAAGCAAATTGCCTTGCTAATACTAATTAAAACCTCAACCACTTATGACAATGTGTAAAGGTATGTGTTCCTATGATAACCTCATATTATACCTCATTAGTTTTGATCAATTGCACTCCTACTGTATGGTGCTGTAATAATACATTATGTTACGATAACGCATTTTTGGACCTTTCCTTTTATTTTTCATTCTCCGCTTTAACCTTTACTGTAGTTTTCACACTTTATGCCATGCAGCACTTTCCCTTTTGTTCAAACTCCTCTTTCTCGCGCGGTGCTGCCTTTATTCTTAGTTTAGCTACAAGTCTCTCACACAGTGGAGCTGGTCACACGGGCTATGCTCTCTGACATTATCAGCCACTGCCTTATCAACTGTATAGTACAGCATGTATAAACAACCTGTAGTAGTATATATACCGCAATAGATACAGGAGACTCCTCAGCGAGTCCTCCTATTGTTTACCCACAACTAACTTGGTCCTATCCTAAGGGTAACCACTCCCCTCACTACCTTTATAGTTAGTTCTAGTTGTGCGCCAGAGTATACAAACTCTAGGTTGTTACACATTACATCCCAACAATATAGAAATAAATTCTCATATTAAAAGCCAGTTTCAAACAGGTCTTGTCCCCCAGGGTACCATCTCACCATCCTTTATAGGCCTTATCCCACAACATACTCTGGGATTGTGCCCCAGAGGACAAGGCCAAAGCTCAGATAATATGTAGGATAGACCCACAACTAGTGTATGGGATGAGGCCTTTAGCTAAAATGTGGAATAGGGCCCATCAAGTATGATGGGATGATACATACCCCAGGGAGCAAGGTTTATTATGTTTAATGGGATCACCCTTGGCAGTAAGGCTTTAACAAAAGTCCAGGATAGGCTCCATTATGTTTATCAGAATAATATACTTTGCAACATGTCCATCAGCCAGATCTTTGAGTTAATACCTTGTGTGACAAGGCCTACCTGAGGCAGGAGGTTATTAATGTGGCTCATGAATTATATGATGCAATAATGTTGTTCATTGACTTTGATACAGGTTTAAAACAATGATTATATAGGTCAATAGGACAGGCCCTTGAAATATAGTATGAACACAGCATATCTAATGTTGTACATTAGGACTGTAATAAATGCCTTGCTCTAACTTTAGAAAAAAGCTTACTCAAATCACTTGAATGGGTTTTAATCACAATCTGGATCATGGCCTATAGAATATCATGGGATAAAAACTCCTGGCCATATGAAGTGATAAGACCCACAGTCAGGCAGGGATATAACATCAGCCATATTTAGGATAGTGTCAACAGCCAAAAATAGTATAGGTTTATCTTGCATTCTGCAATATGTCAGTTTGACACACAAAGCACATAGAAAATACATCATATATAATATAATCTTGCATTCTACTAGGGCCACCAGCCATCCAATTTTATTCACATCAAGGTTCAACTTTTTTTATTGTTTCTAAAAACACACAAGTGAAGACCTTTTGAAAAATAAATATGAATACTTCTTTATATTTCACCTACTGTCCTTTAACATATAAACACATCTAATCTCCAAGTTCTATTTCTCACCAAATTTACAATCATATTTTGCTCAAGACACATCTATCATTTATGATAATTCTTGTATTATACATATGTTCATCAAGAGTCCCAAGTATGTTAATTCTAGACCTGCATCTACACTTCTATAAATAATGTCACCTCATCATTTTTTTTCACCACTTGTGAGTATTTTCTGATAAGGGTATTATCCCATAATCAATTACAGGCCATGGACCTATCCCTCATTCACCTCCAAAGACCAAGGTATTATACTGATATATTTTAGACCCTAGTACATGGTCATAAACTATGGACCAATCCCCCATCAGTTTCAAGGACCAAGGTATTATCCTTAATTGGTTTTAGTCCCCACTATATAGGCCTAAACTATGGACCAATACCCTAAACACCTCTAAGGACCAAGGTATTGAGGGCTTTTAGCCCCATCCTTTTGGTGAAGAGGATCAAGCTAAGAGCCCCCCCAAAGTGGTCGCCTGAAGTGAAAGTTCAGCTGAATTTCAACTTTTTTTCTCATCACATGCTTTCTTGCGATGTCAGGATGATCAATTATCTCTATTCCCTAGGATACATTCTGAACCTCAAAACAGTGGATGGGGAGGAGCCTGGGTTTATCTAGGCTCGAGCCACTTCACATTCACACTCCGCAGAGAGAGGTTCTGCGAACCGGCTGGGACACTTGGACCTCTTTTTTGGCAGGAGGCGCCATTCCCCCAAAGGAGACAAGGGACTTAGTCAAAATTTTGGTGATTTGCTATGACTTAGAGACCGCACAGCAGACTCATCAGGATCAAGCGGAAGCAAATCCTATTTATGCATATGAATATACTAGTTTGTAGCATCTAATTAATATGAATATTCTAGCTAGTTTCTCCCACTTGAGTAGTAAGAGGAATGAGGAAAGGATTGATGATTTGAGTGTAAGGAGACCAAAAGCCAGCAAGATATGCAAATGATGGCACCAAATCTTTTGTGTAGGGAACTCTGGGAATGAAAATGTGTGGTTTGCATTGAGCTGACCACCATGCACATTTCACTTTTGTTGTTGGTGGTTACACAAATATCCGAATCGGCTGAAGTGGGCAGTGTGGGAGTCCTAGTGGCCATACTAGCCTGAGTGTCTGATTGATGACTGCTGGTTTTGGTGAGTACTCAACATCTTTTATCCCATTCTGATCATCTCGTATTCATAACTATGTCTCCTTCAACAGCTTTTTTCTTCTTCTCGCCCTGTGGTTTTCTCGGCAATGACTTGAAGGCTGGAATATCAAGACTCAACAACAACTCAGCCAAATCACCACCATATCTGGGCCACCACTGCCATTGCATCCCCACCAACTTTTTGCTCCTCTATCAATTGGATAGGATCTACTGATGCCAGCAAATCCACGGTCTTATCCCTGAAAATTGCTGGTGAGGCAAAAATGGCATCTGCAAAATTGTGCTTGTAGACTTTCTTCTGCCATTCCTGTAAGTGTTTTTGAACAATCTTGCTAATCACCCCTTTCTTTCCAGCTGCTTGTTGTATTTGCATGGGTGGGCTACCAGGTTGGGTCCAATTCAATAATGAAGGGTCACAGATGTTGCAGCAAGGCACAGTCAGTACTGTTATCTAAAATCAATGCCACTGCTTGTGTAATTTAAACTTATTTCACTCACTAGGTATGTTGTTTCCGTACACTTTCATCAGTATCTGATGACGGCACATGCCTGTCTGCAAAAAAACATGCAAGCCTTCATCTTTTGCATTCAAATCAAGATTGCATCATGCAGGCCTCTATATGCACCTTGCAAGCAGCCTCTGCTCTGTGCGTGTAATTTCCCCCTTCTCTCTCTCTTTTCTTTATATTTTGCTGAGCCTCTTGTTTCTCTCTTGTCACTTTTAGCTCTAGCTGTTAAGTTTTCCTTGTATGTGCTTCGTTCAGCCAGCAATATGGCCAGTCCCACCTGGCCTTTTCCATGAGCTCCCCGCCCGGCCCTCTGGACAAATGTTGACAATAATGCTGGCAGTTTCCACTAAACTACAACATCTATGTCAGGTATGTTGCAGCCCTGTGATGTAAACCGGTTCACTCACTTCAACTAACAGGTCATGATAGAGGTTTGGTTAACTCACCATTCCAGCCGCATCTGTACATACAAGGACTCTCACCTCCCCTTCTCAAAACTTGTCCATCACTGCCTTGCGGTAAATCTTTCCATGTGCAGCATTTATGGGCATATGATTCCTGAAGTTGAAAGGCTT